ATTCATTTTCCCAGTCTATTTCTTGACTTTTAACTCTTTGTTAAGGTGAATGGATGGCTCACTGTTCCAAGCTTCAGGAGTTTTGTGTAGCTGTTTTAAGAGATACTTCTAGAGACCTGTAAGTTTTCAGTTCTTCCAAGGTGGTCTAAGGAGAGGTGCATTTATTACTTTCCTGGCCTGTGCTCTGGTCTGTATGTGATCACAAGTATGCTTTTCTGCCCTGGAACTGTGATGAGGTCCTTGCTCCACTGCAGCTGCAAGCTCTGGTGTGCTAATACTCCTGCTAGCCCTGGGACTGCCACTCAGGACTGCAATCCAGATATGAGTATGGGCAAAGCAACTGCTCCCAGTGCCAGGAAAGAGACCCCTGTAATTTTCTTCTGATCAGTTGTTGAACCCCCTTACAGTCTGTGGGCTGAGAGCTCTGGAAGCAGTCACTGCCACTGCTGAATCAGTGGCTCCCAAAGCCTGCTCTGGGTTTGCTGGGGCTGGTTCTGTGCTGACATGGCCTGTGCTGGGACTATGCTCCACTCTCATCCAGGTGCAACAGACCTTTCCTTCTGACCTTCCAAGTTTTCTTTGGATGGAAAATTATTTCACTGTGTCCTTTCGTGGGTTCTGCTGATTCAGGAGATTGTTTTATGACATTATTGAGAGGTTTTCAGAGGGGTTCTGGGGAAAGCTCAGATGACTTGCTGCCTTTTCTCTGCCATCTTGGCTCTACCTCTACTTATGGTCACTCTTTCATGTTTACCTTTTTATGCTTCTCTTGAGTCTTCTATTTGAATGTCAGATTTTCTATTCAGCTTTGATCTTTTCATTAGGAATGCTTTAAAGTCCTCTATTTCATTAAATATTCTTTTCTTCCCCTGAAAGATTACATTTAATTTTGCTGAGTAGGTGAATCTTGGTTGTAATCCTAGCTCCTTTGCATGGTAGAATATTATATTCCAAGGTCTCCTCTCATTTAATGTGGAAGCCACTAAATCTTGTGTGATCCTAACTGTGGCTTCACAATATTTGAATTGTTTCTTTCTGGTTGCTTGAAATATTTTCTCTTTGACCTAGGAGCTCTGGAATTTGGCTATAGTATTCATGGTAGTTTTTATTTTGGGATCTCTTTCAGGAGGTAATTGGTCTATTCTTTCAATTTCAATTTTACCCTCTGGATCTAAGATATCAGAACAGTTTTCCTTGATAATTTCTTGAAATATGATATCTAGGCTCTTTCTTTGATCATTGCTTTCAAGTAGTTCAATAATTCTTACATTATTTCTCCTCAATATATTTTCCAGGTCAGTTGTTTTTCTAATGAGATATTTCACATTTTATTCTATTTTTCTCCATTTTTTGACTTTGTTTTATAGTTTCTTAATGTCTCATAAAGGCATTACCTTCTATTTGCCCAATTCTAATTTTTAAAGATGTATTTTCTTCAGTGAGATTTTGTAGCTCTTTTCCCATTTGGCTAATTCTGCTTTTTAAGAAGTTCTTTTCTTCAGTGAAATTTTTGTGCTTCTTTTACCATTAGGCCAATTCTGTTTTTTTTTTTAAAGTATTTTTATTTAATTATTTATTTAGCATTTTTCTGGGGCCTCTTTTACCAAGCTATATACTCTTTTCATAATTTTCTTGCATCAGTCTCATTTCTTTTCCTAATTTTTTCCTCTACTACTCTTACCTTTTTCTTTAACTCTTTTAGAAATTCTTGTTGGATTTGGGTCCAAGCAACAGTTTTCTTTAGGGTTTTTACATTGTTGTATTCTTCTGCTTTTATATCTTGGAGTAGTTTTTTTATGGTCAACTTCTTTTTTTGTTGTTGTTTGTTCAATTTCCCAGTCTATTTCTTGACTTTGAACTTTATGTTAAAGTTGAGTTCTGCTTACCTGGGGTGGGGGGAAAGAAGGGAGACTGTCCCAAGCTTTAGGCTTTTTTGTGCTATTGTTTGCAGAGCTAGTTCTGGGGGAGTCTACAAGTTTTTGGTGCTTTTAAGGCAGTGTCCCTTGGAGAAGCATAGTCCCTGTTCTCCTGGTCTGTGTTCTGATCTTTAACAAGGAAGAGCTCCTGGTTCCCTGCAGCTCCATGAGTTAGTGTTCTTTTTTGCAGTGGAACCAGGGCCTCTGCTTCCCTGTGACTGACCACCAGTGTTCCTCTCTGCCCTGGAACTTTGATCCAGAATGTCTCTGGAATGAGAGCTCCCAAGGGTGCTGCTTCTGTGGCCACTGTTGCTCTGGACAGACCTCCACTGGACCTCTACCCTGTGTAGGCTGGAAAGGTATCTCACCCTATTTTTTGTTGGCTCTGCTAACTCCAACATTTGATTTCAGATGTTATTTTATGTTGTTTGGAGGGGAATGTTGGGGGAGTTCAGTTGGGTAGTTGCCCCTGATCTACTATCTTGGCTCCACCCTCCCCAGGCCTGCTTTTTCACCCAAATTCTAGTGAGTACAGGGCTAGATTCTTTGGAAAACAGGCATTTGGCTACTGTCCTGACATACCTACAACTTTGGTCTGATTGATTTATTTGTTTCTACTCCTATTGCTACTTTCCTTGCCTAACTGAATTTGACCCAGGTAGAAGGATTCCTAGTTGTGACTCAGGTCATGTGATTCAGTAGTGGTATCCTCTACAACAGAGGTAAAAAACATTGTTGGGTTTGAGCCAAATCATATTAAAAGTTAATTGGGAAATATTTTACAAAATAAATAAAAATATAATAAAACTTTGATGTTGTTCAGTCCCATTCAACTCCTTGTGATCCCATTTGGGGTTTTCTTGGCAAAGATATTTGCCATTTCCTTCTCCAGATGAGGAACTGAGGCAAAGAGGGTTAAGTGACTTGCCCAGGGTCACAAAGCTGCTAATAAGTATATGAGGTGGATGAGTCTTCCTGATATCAGGTCCAGTGCTCGATCTACTGTACCACCTGGTTGCCTGACAGTAAAACATATACAATGTTAATATGTGGTTTTCTAAGTCAATATATGCGCACAGGTCTCCTTATATACAGTTTAGTGGTTCCTGTTTCTATTTGAGTTTGACACCACTGCTCCAGATAACTTTTTTCCTTCTCTGGCTCACCCTTTCCCCTTAAAACAGTAGTTCCCTTATAAGACTAAAAGCAACTCCCAATTGATAAATGGTCAAAGCATATGAACAGGCAGTTCTCAAGGAAGGAAATTCAAGCTATCTATATATACCTTACGAAAAATGCTCCAAGTCACAAATTACAGAAATGCAAATTTAAGCAACTTTGAGGTTCTATCCCATACCCAACAGATTGACAAAGCTGACAAAAAAAGGAAAATGACAAATGTTGGAAGGATTATGGGAAAACAGTCTCATTAATACATTCTTGGTGGAGCTGTAAATTGTGCCAGCCATTCTGGGAAGAAGTCTGGAACTATCCTTCTCTCCCCCCATTACTAAATTATGCAAAGTAGGCTTCACCCACTAGTTCTACTGACTTAGTATCAACCTTTGTAATGTTTAAACATATCTGGTCATTTATTTAGGGAATCTGGAGGGCTTAGGACAGGTGGGAAAGTGTCTGCTATATGAGTTAAAATGGAGGACACTTGAATTCTTTAGAATCTAACTAGGTTCACAATGTTGCCATTTCTATCATATCTACATTGGAGATAGCATTACTCAAAGGATGTTCAAGACTAAGACTTGATCTTATGCCAATGATCTTGCCCTAACCCAACAATACCACTAAGGCTAAACCCCAAAAAGATGAAAGACAGTTGCAAAAGGGTTGATACGTACAAAAATGTTTATAGTAGCTCTCTTTTCTATGTGTGTGGTGGTAAAGAACTAGGAACAAAGGGGATACCCATCAATTGGGGAATGGGTAAAGAAATCATTATATATGAATATAATGGAAGACTATTGTGCTGTAAGACATGAAGAAGAGGAATGTTTCAGAGACACTGGGAAGACTTGTATGAACTGAGAAAGTATAAAATAAGCAGAACCTGGGGAACAATTTACATAATAACAACAACATTGTAAAGACAAACAACTCTGAAACACTTAAGAACTCTAATCAACAATAAGACCAATCATGATTCCAGAGGTGCCATGATGATGCATTCTACTCACCTCTTGAGAGAGAGGTGATAGATTCAGGGTACTACTTGTGATATTTATCTTTTGGACATGGCAAATTCAGGAATTTGTTTTGCTTAACTGTGCATATTTGTTATAAAGGTTTGTTTTCCTTTCCCTTTTCTTTTCTCAATGGGATAAGGAGAGAGGCAGGAATAGAAAAAATATTTTTAATAAAAAAAATTTTTAAAAATTAGAACTAGGGCTTTTAACTTGTGAGAAGCCCTTTGAGGGAGTATTAGGAAATATTTGGTAAAAAAAACCCCTACCTTTTCTTATTGAAATTAAACTATTTTCTTATGTGACCATGTGTGAATAATTCCAGAATTTATTTCCTTTCCTATTGGATACAGAGTACAGGACATTTTACCAAAAACCAAGAGGAATATCAGCTAAAAAAGATTGGGTACTCTTACCTAAGATGTTTTCATAAAGAAAGGAAAAACTTTGATAGCCTGCCTTTATTCCATTCCATATGATGATTAGGCAAAAGTCAAGGTACAATTTCTTTCCTGTCCCTTTTAGGCGTGCTAAATCTGTATATAAGCTTCATGTAACCCTAAATACAAGCTAATCTAATTACTATGTGGAAAGTCAGAGGAAGCAACTCTCTTTAATTCATAAAATGCTCTTATTCAGATATTAAATTACCACTTCATTAGTAACCTTGTAGTTTAAGCACGAAATTTTTACTTCAGTTTTTGTCTCTGGAACAACATAACCTTATGACTTCCTGTTCTGTTTTGATATTTTTAAACAACCTCTTAGTTTTGTAGTAGTATCCAGTTGCCCTGGTTTTCATAATTTCACATGTTTGAATTGAAAGTGCTTAATTAGAGAATGCTACCATATCAGCTTTCCACATAAGAGTAGAGTAAATTGATACCTGAGGCTCATAACGAACTGCAATAATATAGTCCATAGCATAGGGGATGTTGTTGATGGTGAATCTCAAGCTGGTCCCACTGAAAACCTGGGAAAATCCAGGCCCTGTCCATGTAACAGGTTTCCCAGGAATAGGCTCCTTGATGACAGCATGATCAAAAGTCACAGTGACCTACAAAGATCAATACATACAAACAATTATGCTTACTGTCAATAGAAAGAGGTTAGAAACAAGTCTTTCCTGGAATCACAAGATCATAGATTAAGAGCAGAAATGGGCATTATAAGTCTCCCTCATTTTGTAGATGAGGAAACTGAGGTTTATAAAAGTTAAAAGAGTTGATGTGGTTGGGATTTGAACCTAGGTCTTCCTGGTTCCAAAGCCAGCATGCTTTCTTCTGACAGGCTGCCTATGCCCACATACTCCCACAATCTGAGCTTGAGCCCCAGGTAAACTATTATACCTTGGAAATAGTTTGTAGCAATCTGAATGGGCTGAAAATGCAGCTTGGACATATATTACAGTATGGAATGACCAGTTTAAAAGTATTCCCATTGCGAGCTACTTTTAACTTAAATACTCTACTCCATGATGAATCTAGCAGGTTTCATAATGGTGGTTTAATATTCTCAGATGTTGACTTGGATTCTGGCCAAAATAACAGAAGAGAAAGCAATACAGAGCATATTCCCACGATCATATGTAATTTCTTCCCCTATTTTATATCTTATAATATGACAACATGGAAATCCACATGGAATTACTCACTAGAACTTTCTTCTGTATAAATCTTGAAACATCCATTTTATTTTAGTGTTCCCAGGGAAAAATCCAGGGTTGAATGGTACCTCTTTGTTTCTTCCTTGTCACTACCTAGTACTTCTGACTACTTGGTGGCCTCATAATTAGCCTACCTGCATGGGTCTTCAAGATGCCAAGTCAACATGGAATTAGAGGAACACACATAGCTATAGGGTCTTGAAGGCTAATGAAAGCTAAAGTCATCTCTCCACCCTACCCCAAATCCTCCAAAATTTTAAAACTGCTGGGTGTGGTGATCCATGTCTATAATCTTGGCTACCTGGAGGCTGTGGCTGGTGGAACACTTGAGTTCTGGAGTTCTGAGCTGCAGTAATACTAAAGCTGTATCAATTTTGGCACCAATAGAGTAAGCAACCGGGAGGGTGGGGAGGTAGCTACTGGGCCCCCTAAGGAGGGGTGAACCCGCCTAGGTAAGAGAAGGTCAAAGCTTCAGTGATGATCAACAGCAGAAATGAGCTATGAGTAGTTGCTGCAGAGAGATCCAGTCTCAAAAAAAAAAAGGATTTGAAACTGACTTAGAGACCAACAGTCTTTTTGAGGCAGTGGTACAGCCTTGTGGTACCCTTAACAAGCAAGCATCATTAGGTTGTGGAGAATATGGAATGTTCCAGCATTGACTAACTATAAAGATGTTCTTCAATATCAGAAATTGGGTAATGGATATCTTAGAGGAAACCAACTTGTTGCTCTTCTTTTCCAACTAGCTACAAAAACAGCCATTCCATGATTCTCCATGTTCCCTCACCGAAAAATTAGTAGCCTTTGCACTTACTCTCCCTGACCATGGTGACCCTCTATTTTCAAAGACTATGCCTGTAGATAATATTATACTATTTTTTCCAGTATTGTGTAATGAATGTTATTCTTAAAAGTAGCAAGTTATTTATATATATTTACATAGTGAAGCAATTTTCAACTTTGGTTCCTTATTTTCTGCAGTTTCAATTCATGATGACAAAATAAACCAAGGGAAAATAATAAAAATATGTTTTACTTCACTCTGTTCCTGTGAACTTTTTATTTTATTCCTCTCCAATATTATATTTCCACTGTCAATTGTGAAACCACCTCCTTGCTTCTGGAAATAAACTTCACAGTGGGGTATGACTGTTGCTAATATCTGAAAAGAAAAAAAGAAAGATAGTTTAACCACTTAAGACCCATGTTAATAACTTCAAAGTCTGACTCATACTTTGTCAGGGCATGAAAGTGACTTTAAATTCCCAAGAGTTATACAAATCATAATCCATGAGAGTTGAGGAGCTTGACAAAAAAACCAATCAGGGCTTAATAAATAATTGTTGATTAATTGATTGATCGGTTACTTTCCATCTATTCTGTATTTATTTTGTATATGCTGTTATGTATATTGTCTCTCCTATTAGAATATAAACTGCTTGAGAGCAGTAAATGTTTTTGCTTTTCCTTTGCATCACCAGGGCTTATAACAGTACCTGGCACATAGTAAGCACTTAAGTGTTTTTTGATTGATTGATCAATTCTTCCAAGTTGGAAGCTGGGTCAGTGATGGAAGATTAGCTAGCTACTAGGAACTCAATCCTATTTCTGCAGTGATGGTAGGAGACTAGTTAAAAGGTGGGACAGAACATATTTAGAATAAAACAGTTCTTAAACCATCTATGTTACTTTCAATTTCTTTATCCAATAACCAATGCTTTTCTGTTCTACTGGAGAAAATGAACCAAATTCAAATTGATATTATATCACTGTAAGAAAAGATGAAATTTTAAAAGTTGTAATTAAATAGGACAGTTCACTATCTTTCCTTAGATGAATAAAGTAGTTGTTGAGGTTAGTTTCACTGTGCTCCCCAAGGCAATGAGAAAACATTCTCCTATGGTATGCTTGGTTTAAATAAGCTGTGACTTTGAAGTGCTTATGATAATTATAAGCAAATAGACCACCATGAAGATAATGGCAGCTTATGTGTCAACAACATTTATGGCAGAGGATCAAGTAGAGAATTCCTATAAAGAACTTGACAAGATCCTCAAAGTGAAATCAACACATTCTTTGATACCTTACCTGATGTCTTCAATGTGAAGGTGGGTATAGGAGAATCTGATCCAGTTAGGAAACATCAGTGTCAATTTTAATGTGTTGAAAATAGAGATTACATATATATTACTATAAAGAATAAGCAATTTCAAAGCAGTCTCCTAAACTATCTTGGAAAACACGATACCATAGTATGGTTCTTTGCCAACCTCTTTAAATAAGCTGTCAACTTGGAAAAATGGGAAGTGGACAAATGGGATAACATAGACTCTATCAACATTTCTTTGAGAAGTTTTTACTGATGCCAAAAAAGCTACCACAATAAAGAGTCTGAAAGGCCTGGAAACCACTTCAGCCAGCAAACACAATTTCTTTGGCAAGCATAAAAACATGGAAGCCAAAACTGGGTCCAAACTCATTTACAATGTATTGCGGAGTAGAAAGATGAAAGATTATGAGTAATGTTGTTTCACAAAATAGTTAAGTGAAAAGAGTCTAAAGAAAGCTTAGTATGAGACTAAGCTAAGTTAAATTATACCAAGAAAATTTAAATGCAATACTGGATTAAGAACAACAATAAGCATGAAGAACAGATGCAGTGGCATTTCTAAGGCAATCTATTCTCATCAGTCATGACAATGGCTCCATATTTGAACTTTAACACTTTAGTATCCAATGTAGTAAATGAAGAAATGGAAATGGGAATTTAAGATGATGAAGTCATCAGTTGTATCTATCGTTATTGTCTGTCCTTCATTCTCAAAAAGGACCAATGACATCATGTGGGTGATGTTTTGATTTGTGTGTGAATTGGATTTAAGGGAGGCAGACCTCAGCAAAGTTGTTAGCCTCACTCCTCCAGAGTCATCAAAGTCGAGTGGCAAGACAAAAGTCAAAATGACTGCCAATAGCCCAGGATGCAGTGAATGACCTTGGTCTTTTTAAATTAAGGTCTTTCCTAGGCAGTTTACCTGAGGCAATGCAATTCAATGATTAAAGGCTAGGTAAGAATTAAGTCAAAAGATGGACTAATTTACCATCACAAAATTATCAATCTGGGAGGGGAAGACCCTCAAAGATTCTGGCCAGAACACAAAACAGCTGCTATTTATACTAATTAAATAACTGCACACTATAAACATATTCTATATGATATACAATATAGTATTCTATGGAATAGGTTTTACACATAGTATAGCCTACTAGATACTATATATTTCTATAGTATATATTATTAAAAATCTATAAATAATAGTAAATTGTAAAATAAGTTATTTTTTAAGCATACAAAAATGCATGTAGGTGCCATTGGTCCCTGGGCATTGAAAATGTAAATCATCATTAAAAAAGTTTTCTAAGTTCCTCAGTTTGTAAAGGGAACAACAGCATCCCTTCCAACCTAATCCATCTGGGGAGAGGGAAAGTGTCAAAAACATTCCAGTAGTGGAAACACAAATGCCAGGGCTGCCCCACCCAGTGCACCCTCTACCCAAACAGAGAAAGGGCAAGCTAGCAGGGAGGGAGTGCCCCACAAGGCTGTTCCTGGTATGTATCTGACTGAATATGTACAGATGAAGTCCCTGTTGTAGATGACATGATTATAAAAGCACTGAGGAATTTTCAAGATATTGCAAAAAAGTAACTTTAAAAGAGCAAAGATTATGCTTTTACCAAATAAATCTTATGAAGAAGACATTGGAAAATGCTAACCCATATGTTTATTATCTTATTTCTACAGTATTATTACAGCAATGTCTTATTGTGATATGGGGATTTTCTTAACAAAAGTATTAGAAGGGAATAGTCAGTCTTTCACTTATGATTTTCTGTAGTAAATCACATTTGTACAGTCACATACTTTTTTTATTCAAAACAAGTCCCTGCACACATACTTTTTTTGAATAATACATTTTTGAATAATACATTACCATCATTAACTTATTTGCATGTGAAAATGGAATAATGACCTATATTTATATTTTGAAGGATCTGTGATCTTATCGATGAATGAATGGATGAAAAACATCTTTTGGGTGTTTACTATATGCTAAACATAAGATATTCCCTGTAACAATTCAGATTGTAACCAATCAATGCTTTCTCATACTGATGAGGACAAAATTGAGTGTTGGTACCTACTAGAATATCAGAAAGTATCATCTATTCGAAGAGGCAGGGAAAATTAAACCCAGAGGCAGCCCCTTTCCACTGTATATGGATACAAAGGCAATCCAATTGAGTCTGGATACAGTGGTATTATACCTAACTCAGATTTGAGACTATAGGCCATAGATTTGTAGTTGCTGGTAGTAAACCTGGGCCATCTGAATGGGAGTTTGTATTCTAAACTGATGTTACCTTTGTCTGCCTCCACTTAGCAAGGAAATTAAATGTTTGCTGGTTAATGTGCTTTTTGTGCCATTTAGCCTCCTCGTTATGGCATTTGCTTTACATTGGCTAAGTTTTTTCAGTAAATGGTGATAACCAACATCAATCCCTTTACCATTTCTCATTTCCACTTTTTAGGTATCAACACCTTGTTTGAATAAGTCAGGTTGAAGCTGTTGCAAATGTACATCACATCATATCAACATTTTTTTTCCAAATTTGATGTTGATTTTAGCCTTTGTTCCAATTAATAGATGCTCTGATTGAATACAACTGATATGATTCTTGCTTCAGTAACTAGTTCCTGAATGTTCAGATAAAATCAATTTTTTAAAATGTTTGATGCTAATAATATATCTAGCACCTTTTGACTCTCTTCTTGAAGAATTCATTATATGTATGAAGCCCTTGAGTAGTCTATAAACTATTGACCTTTTTTATTTCCCTTTTTTTTTTATCTTTTGGGATACAGACACAGTAGTTGTATTTTTTTAATTAATTAATTTATTTTTAGTTTTCAACATTCACTTCCACAAGATTTTGAGTTCCAAATTTTCTCTCCATCTCATCCCTCCCCCACCCCAAGATGGCATGCATTCTGAATACCCCTTGCCATAATCTACCCTCCCTTCTATCTCTCCCCGCCTTCTCTTATCTCCTCCCTTTCCCTTCAGTTTTCCTGTAGGCAGGATAGATTTCTATACCCCATTTCCTGCATTTCTTATTTCCCAGTTGCATGTGAAAACAATTTTTTTTAAACATGTGTTTTTAAAACTTTGGGTTCCGAATTTTCTCCCTTCCTCCCTACCCACCCACCCTCATTGAGAAGGCAAGCAACTTGATACAGGTTATACACGTGTAGTCATGCAAAACACTCCCATAGTACTCATGTTGTGAAACACTAACTATATTTCCCTTCATCCCCCCTTTATTCTATTCTCTCTTTTGACCCTGTCTTTCCTTAGAAGTGTTTGCTTCTGATTACCCCCCCCCCCCAATCTGTCCTCCCCTCTATCATCCCTCTGCTCTCTTGTCCCCTTCCCACCCTATTTTCCTGTGGGGTAAGATAGATTTATATACCCAATTGAGTGTGTATATTATCCCTCCTTAAGCCAAATCCTATGAGAATAAGATTCACTCATTCCCTCTCACCTTCACCTGTTTCCTCTCCACTGTAAAAACCTTTTCTTGTCTGTTTCATGTGACATAATTTACCCCATTCTACCTCTCCCTTTCTCCTTCTCCCAGTATAATCCTCTCTCACCCCTTAATTTTTATTCTCCAGATATCACTTCTTCATCTTCAACTCACCCTGAGTCCTCTAATTATCTATCTACCTATCTATATACATACATATAATTTTTCTCTCCAACTACTCTAAAACTGATAAAGGTCTCATGAGTTATAAATATCATCTTTCCATGCAGGAAGGTAAACAGTTTAACCTTAAGAAGTACCTTACGATTTCTCTTTCCTGTTTACCTCTTCATTGGTCTCTTGAGTCTTGTATTTGAAAGTCCAATTTTCTATTCAGCTCTGGTCTTTTCATCAAGAATGATTGAAAATTCCCTATTTCACTGAATGTCCATTTTTTCCCCTGAAAAATTATACTCAGTTTTGCTGGATAGGTGATTCTTGGTTGTAATCCTATCTCCTTTGCCCTCCAGAATATTATATTCCATGACCTTCAGTCTCTTAATGTAGAAGCTGGTAAATCGTGTGTTATCCTGATTGTGTTTCCACAACACTTGAATTGTTTCTTTCTGGCTGCTTGCAATATTTTCTCCTTGACCTGGAAACTCTGGAATTTGGCTACAATATTCCTAGGAGTTTTCCTTTGGGGATCTCTTTCAGGAAGTGATTGGTGGATTCTTTCAATTTCTATTTTGCCCTCTGGTTCTAAAATATCAGGACATTTTTCCTTGATATTTCTTGAAAGATGATGTCTAGGCACTTTTTTTGATCATGGCTTTCAGATAGTCCAATAATTTTTAAATTCTCTCTCCTGGATCTATTTTCCAGGTCAGTTGTTTTTCCAATGAGATATGTCACATTGTTTTCTATTTTTTCCTTCTTTTGGTTTTGTTTCACAGTGTCTTGATTTCTCATAAAGTCACTAGCTTCCAATCGCTCCATTCCAATTTTTAAGGAAGTATTTTCTTCAGTAAGCTTTTGGACTTCCTTGTCCATTTGGCCAATTTTGCTTTTTTAAGGCATTCTTCTCACTGGTTTCTGGACCTCTTTTGCCATTTGGATTAGGCTATTTTTTAAGGTGTTATTTTCTTCAGTATTTTTTTGGGTCTCCTTTAGCAAGCTGTTGACTTGTTTTTCATGATTTTCTTGCATCACTCTCATTTCTCTTCCCAGTTTTTCCTCTACTTCTCTTACTTGCTTCTCAAAATCCTTTTTGAGCTCTTCCATGGCCTGGGACCAATCCATATTTTTCTTGGAGGCTATGGATGTAGGAGCTTTGACTTTGTTGTCTTTTTCTGGTTGTATGTTTTGATCTTCTTTGTTACCAAAGAAAGATTCTATGGTCTGACTTTTTTGTGAGATTTGCTCATGATCCCAGTCAATTACTTGAGTTATAAACTCTTTGTTAAGGTAGGGGTCTGCTTCCAGTGTGGAGAATGTACTGTCCCAAGCTTTAGGGGTTTTGTGCAGCTGTTTTCAGAGATACTTCTAGGGACCTGTAAATTTTCTGTTCTTCCAAGATGGTATGATCAATGGCAAGATGTTTACTCCTTTCCTGAACTGTGCTCTGGTCTATGAGTGACTACAAGCACTCTTTTCTGCCTTGGAACTGTGAAGAGGATTTCCTCTCCACCACCACTACAAGCTCCACCACGCCGGCACTTCTCCTTGCCCCAGGACCACCACCCAGAACTGTGACCCAGATCCAAGCACGGGCAAAGCAAGACAATCCTGCACCAACAGAGAGATCCCTGCAGTCCCCCTCTGATCAGCCACTTGATCCCCCCTCAGTCTGTGGCCCTTAAGCTCAGGAAGAAGCTACTGCCTCAGGGCCACGAGTGGGGACTGGGGCTGGGATCAAGCTTCTCTCTCACCACAGTCACAGATTTTTCCTACTGACTTTTTTATTTCCCAATGCAGTAGTTTCAACATAATTTTTGTGTCTTCCCCCTTGACAACATCAAATATCAGCATAAATGTTGATCTCTTTTGAAGTCTATTGTCAAGTTCTTTACAGAATTCCTCAATATTTTCTTCCCTCTACAGCAATTAGGCTGTAGTGTATTTCCATTAATGACCTATGCACAAGAAGTGAAATTGTGGCTATCATTCCAAAAACTATGATTAGAAAAAAAGGTGGGATAATTGTGTAATGGGAGTGAGGGTTAACAGATCATATGTTCAAAGGATGATAGAGTTGGCAGTCACCTCCTTAAAGGTTATTTTGTCTAGCACTTTTAATGTACAAATGAAGAAGGAAGGCTCAGAAATGTTGCCCAACATCACACAGATAGTGACTCAGTTTCTGCCTTTGTTAGAACTTGCATTTGAACCTAGGTCCTCTGACTCCAAATCTGTAGATAGCCTACATGTTTCACTACTTCCTAGAAATAAAAAAAGACCAAGAAAATCACCTCCAGCATAATAGGTGGATAATCTATGGAACAACATGAGCAAGATTTGCTGAGAATTGGAAGTAATAGATCAGTTGTAATCTGAACCAATGGAGGGAATACCCATATTGATGAGAACACAGGTCCTTTGAAAAATACAGTGTTCCAAAAATCTTAGTGCAGTTTTAAATGATTAAAACTATTAAAACTTAAAATTACACTTATGTTTTGGGGATACAGTATATAATCTAGGAAGACTTGGTGCAAAAAAATCTATAAAACAACTTTGGGAAACTGCTTAGTTTGTGACCCAACCCTTGAAATTCTTTCTAGTTTTCTTTGCTTATCCAAATCCTACCTATCCTTCAAATCTCAGTTCAAGGACAATCTCTTCAAGCATCCAATCTCCATTCATCTCTCTCTGAATTTTCATAGCATTTAACATCTGAATAAAAAACATTCGGAATTTTATTATAATGAGCCTTGTAGTATTATCTGTTTTGAGTATATTGGTCTTGTCTGTCTATAAGAGTGCAGTGACTATGAAAACTTTTATATCTCACCTTATACCCAGTAAGTTTTAACAAATATTCAATTGAATAAAATTAACTTTATTTTTAGGCTTTAATGGATTTCAAATAAACCTCCATTTTGGAACAAAACAATTCTATTCTATATATTTTAAATGTAGTTTCAGAGGGTATGTTGGTGTATATGTGGGTGGGTATGTATTTACTAACATTCATTCCAATGGTAAGAATAAAGTACAGACCAAAGGTGCAGATCTAGAGATGGGTATGGCATCCTCAGCTTCATATATATAGAAATCCAAAGGCACAAAGAAGTAGCCGGGTTCTGGTTCTGTGCATTGAGGGCCAATAATATGAGGGCGGCATTCACATTGCCCGTCATGGGGGGAGCACCTAATAGAAAAAGCAAGGAAGAAAAAGAAGGGAATTGCTCATTGACAGCATAAAGAAGAAATAATAGAAGCTATGGGGTTCAATGTATTAGGTCTTGAAATGAAAATTAAACCTTGCACTTATTCAGTGACTATGAGAAACTACCTTGGCTCCTTTCCTATGCCTCAGCTTCTTTACCTTTACACAGGGAAGCTAAGATTTCCCCATTTTAATGGAATGTGTGAAATAGCATTGTCTCCCTATTTTAGGTTATCAACACAATCAGCTTTTAAAATTTTTTTCATTTTTAATTTATGGAATAAAATAAGTATTTCCATAACATAGTACAATAAAAAGGCTAATTGTGCACGAAACTGCAAATTCACTATGCACAACTTGCTATTCTTTTCAAATGTACAACAAAATTATCATGTAAATTTCTTTTTTTTTTCTTCCCTCCCCACCCACCCCTGCCCTATGACCATCATTTGGTCAGTACAATTATTCACACACAACCGAAAATAATAAAGATCAATCAGTCAAATCAGTGACTAATCTAGATCAATTAATTCTTTCCTAATACAGTGACATTCAAGGTTATAGTAATGTTTGAATAACCTGTACAAAACATGTATTTTATGTGGGAATGTGGGTGAAGAATATAATAATGAAATGCTATAATCCATTTCATTAACTTACAGGTTGCTATAAGCACCCCCAATATCACAGTCACAAGGAGAACAACCATGTAGATTATTTTTAAGTCCCCAATATCCAACCTAGAATGAAAAAAAATGAGTGATTTTGGGTATGTAAACATTTGTCATTATGGACTATCATGTAAAAGTCATTACAATTCAGTAGGGAAGTATCAAAAAGTCAAGCAGTATCAACAAACTACAGTATGGAATGTAACTGAACACTTCCTAAATCATCATTTTTTTTTTCTTTTTTGGTTAGGTGACTGGGGTTAAGTGACTTGCCCAGAGTCACACAGCTAGTGAGTGTTACGTGTCTGAGTCTGGATTTGAACTCAGCTTTTCCTGACTCCAAGGCCAGAGCTCTATTCACTGCGCCACCTAGCTGCCTCTTAAAACATAACTTTTAATCTGTGCTGACACATTTTCCCATCCCTGCTGCTTGACATCAGAATAAAGAGGGAGATTAAAACTGCACTAAGACTTTTAGAACACCTTGCATAACATACTATATGTAAAATAATCTATATATAACATCACACAGCTATTATGTTGTGTCATATTGCTATACTACGCTATATATTAAAGCTTAAAAATACACAAAGAATTCTGGGGTTATTTTATATATTACATATAACTTATATAACATTTTATATATAATAAATACTATTAATATAATATAGTCTATAACATAAACTATATTATATTAATATAGAATATATATCAATATATTTTATATAAATAATATATAACAAAATACACATTTTATATTTTATACAGGGTATTCCAAAAAGCTAAATCTGTACTAAGAATTTTGAGAAACCATGTAAATATACATATATAATATTTTTAAGTCCAAGGTGTATGCAGTAGTCACCATTTCAATTCACCATTTCATGTAAAACCCTCTCTTTCTATTCTTCATTGTATATGAAAATGTTTATATTTATTTATTCATGTTTATTGGTGTTCATCAAGTTCATGACACAACAAATTTTAAAAAGGAAAATGAAATGTGAAAAAAAATCTAATATCTGCCAGATCTTTATTTGGGTAATTTTGGCAAGTAGAGAGAGCAGTGGATTTGGGATTCCAAGACCTGAATATATATCCTGATTCTGATACCTTTCTGTGTGCCTTTGATACCTCTTACTATCACAGGTTCATAAATGTAGAGTTTTATAGGACCTTCTGAGAGATAGCATGGTATAAGGGATAGAACATTGGTCTTGAAGCCAAGAAGACATGAGTCCAAGTCCTGTCTGTGAAACATGCTAGCTGTGTGACCTTGAGCAGATCATTCAACTTCTCAGTGATTTAGAAGACTAAGACTCTAAGTTTCAGAGAAGTTGCCAACCAGCATGGGTAAGAAGGAGTTTCTTTAATGGGGAGTTCCCTATATCAATGCAATCACAAATATTGATCCTCTCCCTAAAGGACCTTATAGATTTAATTCAGTCTTCTAATTTTACAGGCCAAGAGAGGTCTAGTGACTTGTTTAAGACTACAAGGTATAGGGATAGCTAGGTGGCATGGTGGATAGAGTGCTGGGCCTGGAGTCAGGAAGACTTTGCTTCCTGAGTTAAAATCTGGACCCAGACACTTACTGGCTGTGTGACCCTGGGCAAGTCACTTAACCCTGTTTGCCTCAGTTTCCTCATCTGTAAAATGAAACGGAGAAGGAAATGACAAACCATTCCAGTATCTTTGCCAAGAAAATACCAAATGGAATCATCAAGAGTCAGACACAACTGAACAACTAAATGACAACAAACACATAGTTATTAAGTAACAAGTACTATAGGATGTGAGCCTAAGTACTTAGACCCCAAATCCAACCCTCTGTAATATATTGCCTTAATTGCTCTTCTCTGGGCCTCAGTTTCATCTATGAAATGACACTATTAGAATAATTGGTGGGTTCTAGAGTCTGTAATAAAAAACAACATTATTTGATAACTATATTTCAATATAATTGATTTCTTTTGTGAATCTATATATTACATACTCTGCATTAAAAAATTATTCTGAGAAGGGGTCCAAAGGCTTCATCAGACTTCCAAAGGGGCCCATCACACACACACACACACACACACACACACACACACACACACACACAAAGGGTTAAGAACTTTCAAAATAAATGATCTCTAAAATCCATTCTAGCTCCAAATTCTCTGAATTTTGAATTCTGTGCTTTATAAACATAGTTGCAGAAAATGTTTTTCATGAGTTTCTAAGGTAAGCAAATATGTTGAGCATGGCTTATCCATCAAAAATTCCAGTGTTTACCTTAACACCCACCTTCCCCCCTCCTGCCTCTCCATCATGTTTCTTCATATTTATTCCCATGAATTCTTTTCTTGTTAAAAAATGTGATTCCACTTCAACATTTAACACACAACTCTCTCCAAACAGGCATACTTTTCTTATTTATCAACCAAATTTCTTCAGACACATTAAGGTCACTATTCCTTTTGGGGAATTAAGCTTTTTTCTTTCTGTAAAGTAATGGCAGGCTATCAAATTGGAAAGAAGAAGGAAAAAAGCCAGTTTGGGGTTTACTGGATCCACAGCAAAATACTTATATCCTGAAAAATACTTTTTATTCCACTTATTTTGATATACTATGCACATATTTGCTGAGGTCTCTGAAAATACACAGATGTCCATTTCATAAAAGAAAACTTATATTTAATTTGCAGGGGGGATTTTGCGCCATTTCAAAAGTCAGGAACATGGAAGGTTATTGTCCTTAAAGTGGTAGTATAGGGCTGGATTAGGGAAATGCCAGTCTTTCTTCTCCAAACTGATTCTTCTATTTGACTCAACCTAGAAAACTAGAAACTCTTGACCCAAATCAATTGACATGATGACTTTCACAACAGTACTTTGTGATAGGAAGGCAAAACCTTCAGTAGAATTATCACTTTCCTCCCCCACTTTCATTACTTATCTCCACACACACCCCCACCTCTATATAAACACCATCCCAGTATCTCATTTTCCCTAAGGGCAAGGCTGACCCAAACTGACACAAGACAACTTTTTAGTTTACTGAAAAGGTGTTAGAAACAATTTTAAGTATGTTGAGCATGGCTTATCCATCAAAAATTCCAGTGTTTACCTTAACACCCACCTTCCCCCCTCCTGCCTCTCCATCATGTTTCTTCATATTTATTCCCATGAATTCTTTTCTTGTTAAAAAATGTGATTCCACTTCAACATTTAACACACAACTCTCTCCAAACAGGCATACTTTTCTTATTTATCAACCAAATTTCCTAGGAAATTCCTAGCATTTTTTGCTTTTACACGTAAAAGCAAATCTCAAATACTCTAACAATCACTTCCAGTGGCACCCAATTTGAAGTAAAACAACAGATAAGAGGTAAGTAAACAGGTATAAAGTATAAAGAAGATTTTGCTATTCTATCAGTTAAGGTAGAAAAGTCCATAGTTGGTAATGAAAGAAATCGTAGGAAAATCTTTTATATAAAAGTACATACGAGGCATTCTTCACAGTGGGGTCCAATAGCAAACTGCTGGCACAAGCACTGGCCAGTAACCGCATCGCAGGTGGAGAATGGTACACTCCCGAAAGGGTTACAGTTGCAGGCTGAAAGGATGGAATACACAATCATTCTCATGTTTACTTCTCTACCTTTATAAATGTGATCAACATTTACATTAAATAAAAATAGAATCTGCCTTGCCAAATTTACCATCTGCATTGATTACAGTCCTGAATAAAACCATGGAGGAAATACAATGCCAATAACCCTCAAAGCTCTTAGATAACTAACCGATGATCAGAGAAGAGGAATTTAGGAATATATTGCAGCTGAAAAATGACTGATGGGTTAGGTAATTTAATTTAATAAAAGGGAAAGGGGAAAAGGGGCAGGAAGGAAGAAGGGAATAAGCATTTATACAGCACCTACTCTTGCTAAGCACTTTTATAAATATTGTCAATTAATATTGAAGGGAACCATTGTGTGGCATATAAATCAATTGTAGGCAACTTTCTACCACTCTTGACTAGATATATCTTTTCTTTTTCCCTCCCTCTCTCTCACTTCCTCTCCTCCTTCTTTCCCTCCCTCCTTTTCTTCCTTCCTTTCTTTCTCTTCCATTTTTCCTTCTCCTCAGTATTGCTGAGCTTCAGTGTTGGCCTTCAGGGCTAAGAGGTCACTAAACTCTGTCTTGGAAAGACGTATACTAAGCCCTGTAAATTTTATTGCATGTGAAATAAATATTTAGGAAGGATGAACTTAAGTCTTTTCTGCTTCATTGTTGGATAAAGAATCCAAGACTCAGGGAAATAAGAAAAGTGTATTCCTCCCAAGACTACTGAAAACCAGACAGGTGAGTTGATACAGATGGGATAGAAGAGCGCCTTGGCCAAAATTCATTTCCATGAAATTTAGGCTTCAGATTTAAAAAGAACTATTTCACTAAATACAAAATTCCAGCTTATAGCTCTCTAAAGATTCAAATAACATTCTTCCTTATATAGGCAAAATTTGGAGAGTTAAACAGTGCCCAAATACAAATTGTTTGCTTTGTGAACTCTTATTAAATAAATATTAATCCTAAAGCTCTCTTTTAGCTCTAAAATGCTGTGTTTACAAATCAGTATTCTCTTTTTTTTGTGATTGATGATTCTCATTACCTCCCCTGCTGTATCCCTGGCTTTTAATTTTTACCTTTGTTGGCATACACTTCTGTCACAGGTATTTTCCAAACTTCAAATCAGGATACATGCTCTGACAATAGATATTCCTTCTGTAAAGCCTTGTTAAAAGTGCATTTTCTTAAAGTAAACCACACAGTTAAACTTTAAGTGTGTGGCAATTTTTAAGCAGCTCTTAAAAATACTTGAGTATTTTTATAAATAGCAAATTTATCTGCAAATTTATTTTCACAAATGTGCTGTGTTTTTCTCACATTTAATATAGGATTTAGAATAATATTCTTTTCATGTAATAAGTTTTACATTCTATGCCAATTATTTTTATATTGCAGAAGCTTAAAATGTGTATTTGGAATGTGTACTATATAACAACCTTATCAATAAGGATACCTGACAAATAAATTAAAAAAACACTTTCTTGATATCAAAATTGTTGAAAAATGTGGGATATATGGTCACCACAGGTATAGGTTAACTGCATCTAAAATAGGGATAGGAACTGGACCTGTGATTTCATTGGCATGTGGAACTCCCAGATGAGGAAAGTTCCTCTACCAATTCAAGCCAGCACCTTCTCTGCAACTTATTGTCTTAAAGAGTTTCCTTGCGCACTGAAATGTTAAGTCACTCACTCAAGTTCACATGGCCAATGTGTTTTAAAGGCAAGACAAACCCAGATTTTCCTAGCTGCTAGGTCAACTCCCTATCCACTATGCTGCATCTTTTTCTATGCATCAATAGTAGTGAGTAGGAAAGAAGAGAAAAAAGGGAGGACAAATCAAGAAAAACAGCCTAAAGATTGTAATAATAATAATAGTAAATTTTAGATACCAAAATGCTTTACATAAATTACATTTGATCTAATTATGAAATTGGGATTTCAAAATTCCCTGAGAATGTACTTCACAGATATATATGTAAATTGTGTGTAGATTTTGTGGCCCTTCTAGATATTCCATGAATTTTGGTACAACTCTCAGGAACACTCCAAAGGAGCCCACTGGTTTAAATGTTTTGAAGCTTAGCATTAAATATCTGGACATTTTCCCATTTTTTTCTTTTACTAGGGAAAGGAAAGAATAAAATTTGCATGCTGACCTTTTATGTTAAGTTCAAAAAATCACCAAAAATTCCCTTTAATGTCAGAGACAGAGAAATTCAGAGACTGGTTAGCTAAGAACATGGTTCTCCAAGAAGTATAGTCATTGGCAACAAGAGATGTAATTAAAAGAAAACAACAACTCAGTTCTTTACTTACGTTGACAACCCAAAGGATCATTGGCATTCAGTCCATAATAGCCAGGCTTGCACTGATCACATTGGGCTCCCTCAACGTTGTCTTTACAAAGGCATCGACCAGCCTCGATTCCCAGGGCTGGATCTGGATAACTTTCACACATGCCACCAGACAATGACCCTTCAGGATCACACTCACAAGCTGAAAACACAGATATTTGCACAATGATTTTAAGGCTCCTTGCACAAAGACATGAAGTAGCTGTGTTTTATCCTTTTCCTTGTGCACCTTCCTTTACAGTTAGCCAAGTGGTCAAGGGTGACCCCTAGTGTAACACAATGGAGCTTTTACAGTAGACTTTAGGACTGGGGTCACACTTGTTTGGTGTCTTACAGAGAAACCTCACATGTTGCTGGTCCTTCATTATTTGATTATTTGTAATGCATTTGTATTTTAAGTATTTATTAATCTATTTTTTTCTGCTGAATGTGTTCAGAATGTGAATATTTCATGATCAATGATATCTAAATGCATTTCTGTCAGCCTCTCTAACATTGTGCCTTTCTTGCTTTGGTACCATTTGTTACAAATCTAATGGCAACAGAAGAAGTAGTTTATAACCTTTTAAGAACTTCAGAAGAATATAAGTTCCTTGAGGGCAGGGACCGTATTTTTGTTTTTGTATTTGTAGCTCAACTACATAGGACAGTGCCTTATAGGTAGGTACCTATAGTAAGTACCTGGTGGGTATCAGGCCTCTTTATAAATGGTTAATTGGATTAAATGGAATTTTAAGAAAACCTTTTCTCCCTATCAAAAACAATTGTCATTTGCTAAGGTCATTACACATATCACTCCACTAGCTAATTTCAAAAGAAACTTATATAACTCAAGTGAACTGTTTTTGGGAAGGAAAGGAGAATTCACTCTTTAGAAGGATGGAATCATTGACCTGTTCGGAGAATTTGCTGGTAAGGTGCCAGGTGAGATGATAGGATTTTGGAAATTGGGCTAAAGTTCCTCAACTCGTTGGCCATTAGGTAGTGAGCATTATTCTCAGGGGAAAGTAACCTCAAATTTCCCTAAAAGAAACTTGTGTAACCCCAGAGAACTGTCTTTTTAAGAAAATGAATTTAAATGGATAGAAGCTTGGTTTCTATCTCCTTAATTTAAAAAAAAAGGAAATCCAAGTTTTTGTTTATACATCAGTAACTCACTTTAGTGCATTTGGTGGTAACCTTCATTTGGGCTAGTTAATTAGTGTCACTGAAACAAACCATTCACTTGAATGACTACATTTTTACTTCATTCTTTATTACGGTGTTATGTACTCTAGATATAATCAAATATGGAGAAACAGCACCAGGTCCTATTTAGAGTTGCAAAACCACAACTTCCTCCTAATTCAATCCAGTTGTCTCCAGAATAGGAGGATCAAAATGAATTCATTTTAGGAATGACCAAAAGGAAGCAGACTCAGCTCCTCTTGGGAGAAACACAAAAAGAGCAGAGTTGAATTCCAGGGGGTCATTTCATTCCCATGTAGAAGAAAATAGTTTGGAAGTACCCTTTTTTTTTTTTGGATTAACTTCACCTAGAAATAACCCTCCTACATGGATACAAGGATGCAAGGCCAACGATGTCTATCAATACCACATGACATTGTTCAAAAGAACATTTATTACAGATGAGGCTACTGATGGAGTCCTTGGTTCTTGTGTTAACAAAAGTGGTCCTCCCAGAAAACTGGAAATCAATTAACCTTTTGTCTGAAACCCAATTAAACTAATATCTAGGCTCTAACAACAACAGCAGTAGCAACAACAAAAACCTCACTTCCTTCAAATTATTACTTAATGTCAACATATTTTCTCTCAAAAACATACCTTAGGTTAATAGTAATAGAGGCTAGGAGATTTAGAATTGGGACTGAATCCTCGCTACCTTGTTATTCATCTTTACTGAAGAAACTCAAACTCTCTTGATCAATCTTTGTATGACCTTGAAACTGATTAATTAACAATCAATTAATAAATCAACAAGCACTCAATAAGCGCCTGCTCTGTGCCAGAGGCAGAAGAGTGGCTACAGAGCCAACCTTGAAGCCAGGAGAACCTTGGTTCAAGACTCACTCACTTCTAACATATTGTGGTTGTGTGACTCTGGGCAAGTCACTTAATGTCTCCTCACTTTTGGAAATTCTCTAAAACTATAAGTAGCTGAGAAGGTTGACCTACATTAATAGAAGGGATTTCCTTACTTGGCAGTTCCTTATACCAATGAGATTATAGGCCCAGTCTCTGGACATGTTTTATATTAAGGTTTTCCCCCAGCGCTAGAACAGTGACTGGCACATAGTAGGTATTTGAGAAATACTTGTTGACAGTTTAACTGATAGATAACGATAATATTAACTCACATACAATTTCCCTTATAACTCCATGAAGTAAATGTATAAAAATTATTGTCTCCATTCTTCCAAAAGAAAAAAAAAACTGATTTATAGTTGGTATGGTGGGAGCAAAATCCTAACCACCTGCTTCTATGCAAACTAGTTAAGTTTTTTCCACAAAAAGTATTGAAACCATCCTTGAGACTTAATTGGCTCAAGGAACTAAAAGCTCATGCTATTGGTATCATTTCCTGCTCACTTAAGTACGGAATAGCCATAAGGAGCTCTGGGCATGCTTTAAAGCTCGGCTGCTTGACCATGATGGACAACTCAAAGGCAGAAGAGCTTTACTCAGCTGAGTCAATTCATACCTCAATGTATACCCTTGTTGAATTTTCTTCCCCTGCTATGGCTAAGTAAATGTCCTTTTGCTGAGTGCTGTACCAATATGGAACCTAAACTGACGAGTTGAATTACACCCAGCCAAGAACAGTCGAAATTTGAGACTCCCACCGGGTAATTTTTCAATCATTTTAACAAATATCTGGGAAGTAACCTATGAGGCCATTGAAATTTAAGTCAAAGTGTTCACATATATGAAACTGAATGAGTGTATACAGCTGGGAGCTGGGGTGGGGAGGAGTCAGCCAAGATTGCATGCAATCACTGTGGTCAAAGGGGTTCTCAGAATTCCTACTTTAGCTACATGATAAAAACTGGCTAATAATAAACACACAATAAAAAGTTATGGTTTGGCAGTACCTTAACATGAAAAATGGATTATCCAAAGTCAATGTTTCACTCAAACTCTCAGGTACCTTCCTGAGTTCATCTGAAGGATCTACAGACTGTCTCCATGGTTCATGCTGACTTGCTCTGAAACTAACTGCTGTCCTTAAGCTTGAAGTCAATATAGATTAGGACTTACCGAGAGAAAAAGCCTTGTTGGGACACTCCAGAATGAAACCATATTGTTTGGCTCAAGGTCCTTCCCACTTCATTTATTGTCTGAAGAAGGAAAGTCTACAAAGAAAATGTTCTCATCCCCTGCAGAGCTGCCATAGCTAGTAACTTTGGCACTCAGGATAGCTGCATGAAATACACTTTGGACAAACAGTATGAACTGTTCTCTCAAATCAGTTTTGTAATTCATGATGTGAAAATAAAATAAGAAACAATTAGTAAGAAGTCAGTTGAGTGAGAGGGAGGGGGAGATTAGTGACCAAAGTGGTTTCTATGCAGCTGGAGCATATGCTTTTAACATTTTGTACCCTTTAAATGTTGAAGCCTTGGCTTAAAGCCCCATTTTCTTCACACTAGTTACAGTTCTGATACAGTAGAGTTTGGAAATGCTTGCCTAACAACTGTTAGTTCTTAGAAGAAGAAGATCAACAACTGTCCACTCACGAATGCAAGCATGAGGGTCTGAAATTGCCTTGAGGAGGTCCCTGTAAAACAGGGGTTTGCACTGATCACAGTGTTGTCCCACAGTATTGTGCTGACAGTCTTCACACACTCCACCACTGACACCATTATTTGAGAGGTACAGTGACATATCAAAGTGACAGCGTTCAGAGTGGCCGTTACAATTACATGCTGTGGGAGGAAAAGAAGAAATAATTAAATTTATCCAAAGTCCCAGTGAATTAACTAACAAGCCTGACTTAGAAGAAAAGCCTTTGGACTGCAATTTCCTCCTCCATCGCTAGAAGGAGTTTAGTTACTCCCCTTTCTTTTCTGGGACCAATTAAAGATTCGGGGAATTGAACTAGATCATATTTATGGTCTCTCCTAGCCTTCATAATCTCTGAGACTATGATTCTAAGTCTAGGTACTGCCCAATAGATATCAAATAGGCAAAATATTAAATTAATACTCCCCAATCATATTTTGAATACTTTGGAAGAGTTATACATTTCATACAGTCCATCCTTCTGTCCAATCAAAACAAGATTAAACATATTTTAGCTTTTGCAATGTAAATACTTGCCTGATCATTTTTTATGTTTAAATTTCTTGGGATATCAAGTTTTCTTTTTTTTTTCTTTTTGGCTAGGCAATGGGGTTAAGTGACTTGCCCAGGGTCACACAGCTGATATCAAGTTTTCTTACACGTACGCTTTTCCAATACCACACTTTGAAGAATTTGTTATACCACACTTTTTTGTCTTTATTTTTGTCCAGACCTATGATTTCATTGGCATAAGGTATTTCTTATAAGGAGATCCCTTCTGTTAATTTAGGTCAGCACCTAGCAAGTTCTTTAACTTTTCTAGTGTCCTCTAAGACTATAAGGTGGCAGAAAATGTGCCAGTTGGTAGAGGGAGCTTCCTCATGTGGGAGTTCCCAATACCAGTAAAATCATAAGTCCAGTCCCTAATCCCCTAACTACTCTGGTTACCTTGAATCCTTTCAAAATTTATTTCTTTAACAGCTAAGGAAAGGAAGCTGAATGGAAGCCTTTGCCTTTCTTTTGCATGCTCATCATAATTCTGGGGTAGCATTATTTACAATAAAATGCCAAAGCCTGTCTTGCTCATGTGCTGAGCTCTTATAACCTGCTGTTAGTGAGGTAAGCTCAGTTTCATGCAGCTGGATGGGATAAATATATGGCATCTGAAGAAGGAGCTGGGATTAGAGTGTGTATTCTTAGAACTGTGACATCCCACCATCATTTATTCCAGTTGTACAATGCCTGTGTTCCTTCTCCTAAAAGGGCAAGATGGCATAACTTTTTTTAACAGACAATTGGGGTTAAGTGACTTGCTCAGGGTTACACAGCTAGTAAACATCTGAGGCCGGATTTGAACTCAGGTCCTCTTGACTCCAGTGCTGGTGCTCTATCTACTGTACCACCTAGATACCCTGGTGTGACTTTTTTTTTAAATTGACTTGCGAGGTGGCATAGTGCATAGAGTACTGGCCTTGGAGTCAGGAGGACCTGAGTTCAAATCCAGCCTCAGACACCTAAGACTTACTAGCTGTGTGACTTTGGCCAAGTCACTTAACCCCAATTGCCTCACACAAAAAAAATTGAATTGAATTAAAAGTTCATCTTCTTTCAATGATTTGAGGAATTTAAAACAGCACTCCAAACAATTGGAGATTGCAAAACCATGTCTGGGAGTCATGGAATTGTACCACCATTGCCCTGTGTAGCACCACACAACTGAACTTATATCTGACCCTTAACATAGGCTGAGTATATATTTTCACCTACATCTGCAAGCATTATCCTGGAGACCTTCGGCTGGCCTCCAGGGAACATCATGGAAGAATTCCTTGCATCTCTCACAGTTTGGGCCATCTGTATTGTGCTGGCAGATACACTGACCATGAACCTGGTTTAGATAAAGAAACAAGTATTTTATAAAAATGGATTGTCCTTGGTGGCTTTTTTTAATGGAAAAACATATTATCCTTTGATGGAACTTTCAAAGCTGTGGCCCATTTGATGTGTACAGGGGAGACACGCTGGATCCAGCTTAGTGAATGGCCATTTTTAGCACAGAATAGAGAATTGGATTGCGAATTAGAAGACTGAAGTTCTAGACTGGGGAGCCACTTAACTTTTGGGTGCTTTGGTTTTCCTATCTCTCAGATGGAAGAGAATAACAACAACAATAATAAATTTATATAGCTTAAATTTATATAGCACTTTAAGGCTTGCAAAATGCTTTTTATACATTTTTCCACCTATCCCTTCTTATCTCATAGGAATGGTCAAGACCTACCTAAACCTTAAATAGTTCATTTTCGTATTACTTTAGGAAGTATAGTAGGGGAAGAATATTTATCTGCCAATGTGACTGAGCCATCAGAATCAATGACAAAATCAATTTACAACGTGATGAACTGATTCTATTTTACCCTTCACCAAGGTCAAGGGTGTGTCTGAGGTGTAATGATTCTCAAAGAGAAATTATTTGTGATGAGACAGTATCTAGAAAGAAAGGAGCCAAATGCTGTACAACTAACTGAAGGAATAGGGAGGTAACTCCACATTAGCTTTATAAAGTTATCTTTTACTTAGGCCCTTCTAAGAATGTCATAGTTGACTTTCTTCTAAAACATCTTTACCTCCTTTCCACTCTTTACTTTCCTGCTTCCCACTTAAAAAATTATAAAGATTCCTGTTCCCAGGCTGGGTTTGGTTTATGTATTCTGCCATTATCAGGGTCTGAAATAGGATGAAGTTTAAAAAGATTTTGAATATAGTACTTTGGTTTATGGGTGTTTGGGAAAATACTTAGCAAGATGGATAAAAAGGTGGAAATAGGAGAGCAGAGCCTTTTAGGCCCCTCAGTGGAACATGTTCAAAGTGTAAATAAAGTCTTGCTAACTCTACTGTCATCTTCCTGAGTTCAAATCTGGCCTCAGACATTTACTAGCTGTGTGACCCCTGGCAAGTCACTTAACCCTGTTGGCCTCAGTTTCCTCATCTGTAAAATGAGCTTGAGAAGAAAATGACAAACCACTCCAGTATCTCTGCCAAGAAAACCCCCAAAGAAGAGTGAGACAACACTGAAAAATGACTAAACAACAACTCTCCTGATGGGGACTAATAAATGGAGCTAACAGTGAATAAGCCCATCTAGTCTGATATGATTATGAATAGTAAATCATTCAAATTTAATTAAATATGGGAAAGTATGGGCTAGATGACACTATGATCACATGAATTAAAAATTGGTTGAACAAGTGGATTCGAAGAGTAGTCATTAATGTTGTTGTTCAGTTGTTTCCATTGTGTCCAACTCTGTGACCCCATTTGGGGTTTTCTTGGAAAGATACTGGAGTGGTTTGTCATTTCCTTCTCCAGCTCATTTTACAGAAGAGGAAACTGAGGCAAACAGGGTTAAGTCAAGGGTCACACAGCTGGTAAATGTCTGAGGTCAGATTTAAACTCAGGAAGATGAGTCTTCCTGACTCCAGGTCAGATGCTCTATGCATTGTACCACCTAGTTGCCATTAATGGTTCCATGTAAAATTGGGAACTCTCCAGTGGAGTGTCTCAGGAATTTACATTTATTCCTATACTGTTTAACTTTTTTTTTTAAACAGCAATTTGAATGGAGGCATGGTTATTATGCTTATCAGACTTGCAAATACACAAAATGGGAGTAGCAAAAAACACTGGATGACATTCAGGATCTGAAAAGATCTTGACAAACTAGAAGACTGGGCTAAAGCAGTGCCTGGTATATTAATAAATTCTTGTGGACTTACTAAATCTAAGAAGTTCAGATTTAATAGGGATAAAGGCAAAGTACTACACTAGAGTTCAAAAGGTTGATTCCATGAGTATAAGATGGAGAAAGCATGGTCAGATGACAGTTTGAGAAAGATCTTGGGGTTTCAGTGGGCTTCAACCACCCTGTGAATCAAGAGTGTGAGCTGGCAGTCAAATAAGATAATGCAATATGAGAGGCACAGATTCCAAGAATAAGGAGGGAATAGTTGTGCTGAACTCTGCCCTGATCAGACCACATTTGGACTAGCATGACCAGTTTGGGGTACCACAGTAGGATAGACTTTAGTGAGTGGAGAATGTCCAAAAGAGAATAAAAAAGCTAATGAAAGGCCTTGACTCCATGCCATATGAGTCTTACTGGAAGGAAACGGGAACATCTAATGTAGAGAAGATGTGGGAGGTGGGGTTGGTAGATGTAGTCAAGTATTTGAAGTATTCTTTTTTTTTTAATTTTAAAAAAATTATTTATTTTTAGTTTTCAACATTTGGTTCCACAAGATTTTGAATTCCAATTTTTCTCCTCATCTTGTCCCTCCCCCCATCCAAGATGGCATGCATTCTGAATACCTCTTCCCCTAATCTGCCCTCCCTTCTATCTCTCCCCTCCCTTCTCTTATCACCTTTCCCTTCTATTTTCCTGTAGGGCAGGATAGATTTCTATACCCCATTTCCTGCATTTCTTATTTCCCAGTTGCATGTGAAAACAATATTTTTAAACATGTATTTTTAAAACTTTGGGTTCCAAATTTTCTCCCTTCCTCCCTACCCACCCACCCCCATTGAAAAGGCAAGCAACTTGATATAGGTTATACACGTGTAGTCATGCAAAACACTTCCATAGTACTCATGTTGTGAAACACTAACTATATTTTCCTTCATCCTATCCCACCCCCCATTTATTCTATTCTCTCTTTTGACCCTGACCCTCCTTAGAAGTGTTTGCTTCTGATTACCCCCACCCCCAACCTGCCCTCCCCTCTATCATCACCCTACTCTCTTGTCCCTTTACCCCCCTATTTTCCTGTAGGGTAAGATAGATTTCCATACCCAATTGAGTGTGTATATTATTCCCTCCTTAAGCCAAATCCTATGAGAATAAGATTCACCCATTCCCTCTAACCTTCTCCCATTTCCCTTCCACTGTAAAAACTTTTTCTTGTCTGTTTCATGTGAGATAATTTGCCCCATTCTACTTCTCCCTTTCTCCTTCTCCCAGTATAATCCCCTCTCACCCCTTAATTTTATTCTCCAGATATTACCCCTTCATCTTCAACTCACCCTGTGCCCTCTGTCTATCTATCTACATATACATACATATAATTTTTTCCTTCCAACTACCCTAAAACTGACGAAGGTCTCATGAGTTACAAATATCATCTTTCCATGCAAGAATATAAACAGTTCAACCTTAATAAGTCTTTTATGATTTCTCTTTCCTGTTTACCCCTTCATGTTTCACTTGAGTCTTGTATTTGAAAGTCCAATTTTCTATTCAGCTCTGGTCTTTTCATCAAGAATGCTTGAAAGTTCCCTATTTCACTGAATGTCCATTTTTTCCCCTGAAGGATTATATTCACTTTTGCTGGGTATGTGATTCTTGGTTATAATCCTTTCTCCTTTGCCTTGGAATATTATATTCCATGCCCTCCAGTCCCTTAAAGCAGAAGCTGCTAAATCATGTGTTATCCTGATTGTGTTTCCACAATACTTGAATTGTTTCTTTCTGGCTGCTTACAATATTTTCTCCTTGACCTGGGAACTCTGGAATTTGGCTACAATATTCCTAGGAGTTTTCCTTTGGGGATCTCTTTCAGGAAATGATTGGTGGATTCTTTCAATTTCTATTTTGCCCTCTGGTTCTAAAACATCAGGGCAGTTTTCCTTGATAATTTCTTGAAAGATGATGTCTAGGCTCTTTTTTTGATCATGGCTTTCAGATAGTCCAATAATTTTTAAATTCTCTCTCCTGGATCTATTTTCCAGGTCAGTTGTTTTTCCAATGAGATATTTCACATTGTTTTCTAATTTTTCATTCTTCTGGATTTGTTTTACAGTGTCTTGATTTCTCATAAAGTCACTAGCTTCCAATTGCTCTATTCTAATTTTTAAGGAAGTATTTTCTTCAGTAATCTTTTGGACTTCCTTGTCCATTTGGCCAATTTTGCTTTTTAGGGCATCCTTCTCCTCATTGGCTTTTTGGATCTCTTTTGCCATTTGGGTTAGGCTATTTTTTAAGGTGTTATTTTCTTCAGTATTTTTTTGGGGGGGGAGTCTCCTTTAGTAAGCTGTTGACTTGTTATTCATGATTTTCTTGTATCACTCTCATTTCTCTTCCCAGTTTTTCCTCTTCTTCTCTTACTTGTTTCTCAAACTCCTTTTTGAGCTCTTCCATGACCTGGAATGATTCATACTTTTCTTGGAGGTTTGGGATGTAGGAGTTTTGACTTTGTTGTCCTCTTCTGGTTATATGTTTTGATCTTCTTTGTTACCAAAGAAAGATTTTATGGTCTGACTTTTTTTTTGACCTTTGTTTATTCCTGATCCCAGTCAATTACTTGAGTTTTAAACTCTTTGTTAAGGTAGGGGTCTGCTCCAGTGTGGAGAATGTACTGTCCCAAGCTTTGGGGGTTTTGTGCAGCTGTTTTCAGAGATATTTCTAGGGAACTGTAAATTTTCAGTTCTTCCAAGATGGCATGATCAATGGTGAGATGTTTACTCTTTTCCTGCTCTGTTTTCTGGTCTAAAAGTGACCACAAACACTTTTTTCTGTCTTGGAACTGTGAAGAGGATTTCCTCTCCACCACCACTATATCACTCCTCCTTGCCCCAGGACCACTACCCAGAACTGTGACCCAGATCCAAGCTTGGGCAAAGCAAGAGAATCCTGCACTAGCAGAGAGATCCCTGCAATCCCCCTCTGATCAGTCATTTGATTCCCCGTCAGTCTGTGGGCCAGAAGCTCAGGAAGCAGCCACTGCCTTCGGGCCAAGCTCAGGGACTGGGGCTGGGGCTGCAGCACTTCTCTCTCTCACCCCAATCACAAACTTTTCCCACTGACCTTCTAAGTTGTCTTTGGCATGCTTGGGTTGAGAAGTCTGGAAACCACCACAGTTGCCCACGATTCAGTCCTCTGAGGCCTGCTCCAGGTTTGCTGAGGCCTGCCTTGCCTGCGAGCCCATGCCAAATTGCACACATCTCCCCACTCAGCGTGATATACCTTTCTGATCAACCAACCAGGCTGTCTTGGGCTGTAAATCTGTTTCACTCTGTCTTTTTGTGGGTTCTGCTACTTTTGAATTTGTTTAGAGTCATTTTTACAGGTATTTGGAGGGGTTTGGGGGAGAGCTCAAGCAAGTCACTGCTTTTATTCTTCCATCTTGGCTCCGCTCCCAAAGTATTCTTTAAGTGTTCTATTTTAGGAGTAAGAAGTAATTTGCAAAGAGGCAAATTCAAGTTTTGTATCAGTAAAAATTAACTAATAGGGTTATTAAATAGTAAAATGGGCTACCTTGGGAGGGAGTGGGTTCCTCTTCTCTGAAAGTATTAAAGTAGAGGCTGGATAATCCCTTATTATGTATCTTGTATTGGGGGTTCTTTTTGCGGTAGGTATGAGTTGGACTGAACAGACACTGGGATGAAAACCCTTTGTAAAATTCTGTGATTCTGCTTATAGCTCTGAATTTCTTAGTTCTCAGCTTAAATAGAGCAGTTTTGGAAATGAGACACTAAAGTTAAGATTAGAGACCTGAAGACAGTTCACTAGTGTGGTGATGTCTTCAGAACTCGGTTTCCTGGATCTATTTTTTGGAGAATTCCGAGACAGAGAAGTCAGAAGGAGAGAGTTCATTCTTCCTCTTGTGCCTCCTGGACAGGCAGGGTCAAGTGGCAATTTGGTCTTTGGATACCTGCTTTCCTATCCTCTGCTTCAGAAATGCTGGTGGGCTGCTGTTTCTGGATGGAGTCAGCTGAGCTGTAAGGTACAGGTGACTGAGAGATGCGAGTAATGTTTGGTGAGACAATGCAAGTACCACACCAGGACATTTTCCTCTCCTCATGTCTCTCTTCTGGGAAACACATCCTGATTAACTACCAAATTCACCCAAATTCTGTCTCTCCTCTCTTCCTATGAGGAGTAAATGTGAGTAAATGTGATTTTTCCTTTGCTTATCAGCAGCATAAGGCATCAGCTTCTTCCTATCCAAAGACCTGTTCACTCAAACAACAAGCCAACAAAGGTTTATTAAGCACTTGTTAGGGGCCAGGTACTGCGACAAGCACTGGTGATACATACAAAAGCAAACACATTTTCTGCCCTCCTGAAGCTCCATATTCTAATGATGGAGATACCATGTAAATAACTAGGCACAAACAAGATATGTATGTGTATATGTATGTATGTACCTATGTATGTTATGTATGTATGTATACATGCACACACACGTGTCCTTGTGTGTGTAAATAAGCACACCTACATGTACACACACGTATACACACGCATATATACACACACATATAGGCATATATAGAAAGAGATAGGCAGAGAGATAGAGCGAGAGAAAGACAGAGGCACACACAGAGAGATTAACACAGAGAGAGACAGAAAAGGGGGGGATGAAGAGAAGAGGGAGAGAGACTGAAGAGAGAGAGGAGAGAGGAGAGTTGGAGAGATGGAGAGATGGAGGGCAGAGGGGAAGGTACTAGCAGGGCACACTACTAAGACCAGCAACCTCCATTTCAGTCCTACTTCAATGACATTTATTACTCTGGCAGGTCCTACCAAACCATTTCAAGCCATAAAGGCTTTGAGTACAGCCCCAGTGATGGGGGTATTTCTTGTGTTTCTTTCATTGGAGGACCAGATGAGTTTAGTTTGAAGTGGCTCATTGACAGGTAGGCTTCAGGGCACTGCATTTTTCAGAGATAGCAGCTCTCAAATATCATTAACTATCAGAGATGGGCTGTGATCTGTGTTCCTGGAGATGCTTCCTACACCATTGAAACTGGAAGTTTTTGGGTACTGATGTATGGGCAATACAGCCCGAAGACAAGCTTAAAAACGCAACGTTGTACTTTGACCATACTGGCAGTTTTTCAGGACAAATGACAAGAACCAGAAAGAGCCACAATATAGAAAAAACATAACCCTTTACCCTTGGAAGTTGCTTTGCTTGGGACTTGTTGGTAGTAATTGCTATGGATGAGAAGACTGTCAGGAGGAAGCTCTCTGGGCAGTATAGGTAGGGCCTCTGCTAATGGTAGCACACTGCTGGGGTCACCAGGGATACCAGGCTCTGTTTTTTGTTTTGTTTTTTGGCTATTTAGGTTCAGGAACTAGATTTTATCAATCTATTTAGAGGTGATCAAGCTCTGGCAAACTGACTTATGCTGACCAAACTCCAAAGGGGCTGATTTATCAACTAGAGACCCACTTTTTTCTTTTTTTTGGCAAGGCAATCAGGATTAAGGAACTAGTAAGTGTCAAGTGTCTGAGGCCAGATTTGAACTCAGGTCTTCCTGACTCCAGGGCTGGTTCTCTATTCACTGTGCCAAGTAGCTGTCCCCTTGAGACACACTTCTTAATTTACTTTCCAGGCAATCAATTCTTCAACACATAGGCATTTCACTGATACTTGTTGAATTAAATGATTGACGAAATGAATGTGAAGATCCCTCTTCCCCTTGAAAGATCAGTTCTAGTCCTGATATACTTTTCTTTTATTCTCATGTTGATTCAAAACTGTTATCATTGCAAAGAACTGAGGGGTGTATGTGTATAGGTATGAGTGTTCTCATGCTTATGGAACAAAGGGGAAAGAACTTTAAAAAGTTACTTCTTGCATGTAGAAGTATTAGCAGGAATATTTGGGAGCAAGGAAATATGCCCCAATGGAGTTACCAATTAAGTCTGCAGAACTGAGCTAAATTCTATCTGCCTTCTCAAAGAACAGGAGTTTTCATGCTGGTTTCAGAACACTTTAGTGGTGACATGCATTTGTCTCAATGCTGACCTATCAGGATAATGAAAGGAAATAAATCAGGAGGGTTTGGAACTTACCATTCCAGATGGGCTGAAGACATCTCCCCGGACATCCTGCACAGGGCCACATCTGTTAGCATGGCCATTGCAAAAGCATCTTCCCCGAACAACCATATCATAAACAGCATAGTAATACTTATCAAGGGGATCAGTTGGCCTTCTTCCAAGCAATGTATCCCCCAGAGTGTGTAGTTTGGTAAAGTTTATCCTCAGGTTTGTAAGAGTCACTAGATCTAGAATGAGGAAAATGAACCAAAAGGACACATAAGCTGTATCTGTGCAAAACATCTTCCTTAGTCAATGGGGATTTCGGCTGAGTGCACCCAAATACAAGGTCAAGATTTGGAGAGTTTGAATCAATGAGACAAATATCACCACCAACAACACCCTTTTTACTAAATACAAACACTTAGCAAGGATATACAGTGATAGGCAAAAGCCTTGAGTTCCCCACCAATCATGGCACCTGGGTTGATAACAACAACAACTCAAAAGGGAATAAAAAAATCTACTGAGTCTAAAGAACTTAAGGAAAATTAAATAAGGTTTGCCTGCCAATTTATATCATGTATATTATTAATAATAAATGTTTAACTATTCATTTTAAAATACAACATTTGGTAATAACAATTACTATAAAATTAAGGCATTTATTCCCCTTCCTTCCCTGATAATGGTTTACATAGGATTCATCCAAAATTGGGCCTTGGTGCATTTAATCTATCCTGGTTTTGGATCTCAATGACTAATACAATACAGCCTAAGCAGCTCCACTGGGCCCTGGTCAGAATGAATAATGCAAAAGACAAACTTCTTTTTAAATATTCAGGAAAGATCCAATTAAACATACCATCAAAATGGAATTTGGAATATGAAATATGGAAGAATAGATGCATCAATAGAACAAGACCATAACACTACCAAAAAGATAAGGATTAAAAATCCAAAGTTGCTCATACCCTGTATGTAGGGGCTGTAGGGATTTTCTATTTCAAAGCTGGGATCCAAAGCTTTTAAAACAACCTATAAAATAAATATGTTCAAATTTTCAACATTTTAGTTCACATTCACAATTGTAAGATTCAACCCTAATGAAGATATGTCTGAACACACAAAATGCTTGCTCACTACAACTCAGTTACTCAGAATGCCATCTGAGAAAATGAGATTAAAACAGAGAGGGAGAAATGAATATGGTCAATGTTTTGTAAACATCAGAAGAGGCAGTGTGGTATAAAAAGAACGAAGGAAGGAAACAAGCGTTTATTAAGTGCCTACTATGTGCCAGGTACTGTGCTAAGTACTTTACAAATATTATTTCATTTTAATCTCACAACAAATTTGGGATGTAAGTGCTATTATTATCCTCATTCTACAGTTGAGAAAACTGAGGCAGACAGAAGTTAAGTGACTTACCCAGGGTCACATAGCTAGTAAGTATCTAAAGGCCAAATTTGGACTCAGGTCTCCCTGATTCTAGGCCCAGTACTCTTCACCACCTAATTATCCCTAAGTCCACTCCTTCACAGCAAACATTTGCTCAGAATATAACAAAAACTTCTCTTTATCTGCATATAAAACCTCTTATAAATAAAATGTATAGATAGCAAATTTTGTCCAGATAGATCATGGCTGAGGTAAGTCAGTGAACCAGACAAACCTTTAACTGCACATGATTATATTCAGTTAGAGGTAGCAGCATTTTTCTTTGCTAGTGGCTTACCACTGCCCTTGGCCTCTCTCTTCTCCATAGAGAGCAAAAAGTTCCAGAGATTTCTTGTGTAGTTTCTGCTTCCCACGATGCTTCAAGTCCCACTTCCAGCTGGGAAAAATTACACTTCTTTTTGGCCCCCTTACCAGTAAGAGTTATAATCTGAGCAAGTAGCAATCCATGGGCCTGTCTCTCCTGGTCAGTAGTGTGTGCTATTATTACCTATGTTTTCTTGTGTTGGGATATTAACTGAAGTCCTACCTTTGCTGCTGAGAAGGCTCCATTTCTGTCTGAGGTAGAGCATTACTCTCCATAGATATACTGCTTCTATGGACAGTATATAGCATGGGCAGCCTAAAGGCTTTACTGAAAACTGATAGGGGGAAGGTGAACATACTGCAAAGATTTCATAAGTTTCCAGTGAATTTTCATCCAGAAGCACTGGAGAACTCCAGAGCATAGAGAAGGATAAAGACAGTTCTGCTTTACTTGCCTATTGCCTTACCAATGTTAAATTAATTTTTAAAAATATGTTTTACCGATATCTTTAATTTTTATATTGCTTAGATTTTGCTCAGTATTTCTCCCCCTCCTCCTTTGCCTCCGAGATTATTTCTTACAATACATTTATTGTTTGTGTTTTAGATGATTTCAGGATTAATATCAAATTAGAAACTTTTCATCTTTTCTCAAGTTTCAATAGCATCAAGCCAAATATTTCTCCCCAGATCTACCTCAAGCATATAGATAGAAAAGAGAATTCAATTTAAATAAAAGAAATCCAAAGGGCAGCTAGGTAGTGAAGTGGCTACAGGGGTGGGGAACCTGTGGCCTCAAGGCCACATACGGCCCTCTTGGCCCTTTGACTGAATCCCAACTTCTCAGGACAAATTACATCAAATTTCATCACAAATTTGTTCTTTGAAGTTTGGAATCACTTGTATGGCCACGCTTCAGGACTCAGAGGGTCACACATGGCCTCAAGGCCATAGGTTCCCCACCCCTGGTAGAGTGCCAGGTGTGGAGTCAAGAAGACCTGAGTTCAAATTTGGCCTCAGATACTTACTAGCTATGTGACCTTCGGCAAGTCATTTATCCCCATTTGCCTCAGTTTTCTCATCTGTACAGTGAGTCAGAGAAAGAAATGGCAAACCATTCTAGTACCTTTACCAAGAAAACTCTAAATGGGGTCACAAAGAGTTGGACATGACTGAAAAATGATAACAACAAAATAAATCCAAATGAATTGTACCTCTCCTTCAGTAGAGGGTTCAATATCTGAATACTTGGAATCACAAACAAGGTCATCCACTCCTTGTGCCTGGCCAGATGAGATGTTGGGAAAAGATGCAGCACAGTCTTTTGCAAAATACCTGAAAACTTTCCATGTTTGGCCATAGTCCACAGAACGCTCAACTAGCATGGCTGCAGGTCGGAAAGTCTGTGGAAGAGGATTTCAACAAACTTTCTCAGAAAGGTGGAATTTAGTGTTAACCTTAGATTGAATTCTGATATTTTCCAATTGTAAATTATATGTGATGAGGGCTATAGGTGGGTTGATGATTAAACTCAAGCTTCGAGTATTTGGTAAGAAAGATGCTTTATAAATCCAAAGGAACATTGTGATAAGGACCCTAGGACTCGGCTTTATCATCACAATAGTTTGACAGGGAGTCTGACTAAATTTATCGAATCTCCTTTAATCTTCTGTCTCCTCATCCTTACAAGCACTGATTCTTTACATTCACATCCTATATCCTTTGCTTAATTATCTGTCAGGTCCTCTTTCTTCTCATATAGTAGCAGTAGGGTGCCAGACTAATACTTGAAAGATTTGGCCTCTAGTCCCATCTCTGCCAATAAATGGATCTATAAGCTTAACATAGTCTCCTTATCTCTCTGGGCCATATTTCCCTTATCCATAAAATGAGGGGATTGGAGTAGATTCTTAAACCCCTTTCAGCTTAAATATTCTATAGTTCCAATCCCCAAGGTCCTAGGCTGCACACACACATTTCAGAAATTAAAAACCAAATAAACTTTCCACATACATAAAAGAAGAGCAAAAGAGGAATGTGTATGAAACTGCAGCCTTCAATTATGTATAGCTTGCTTTTCTTTTTTAGTACATAAGTTCAACCTACAGCTATCAAAGCTGTCCTCCTTGTCTCTGCTTCTTTCTTGCCTTCTTTCTATTCCCTTCCCTGCTTTTTTTAAAAAGATGCCTCAGTGACTTTCTTCCTTCTACTTCTTCCCTTTCTTTGTTCCTCCTTCTCCTGACCTTGACTTCTCATTTCCCCCATTGGGGAAAATAAAAGCTCTTATAATAATACATATACATATCTATCCCTTTTGGACAGCACATTTTAAAGATTCCTCCCCCCAGTCATATATGCCTCTGCCTTAACATAACGTTTTCTTCCTTTAATTGAGAATATAAAGAATAAGATGGTTTAGGTCTGGATTTATATGCAGCACTATAAACTAAAAGGAAACAGTATAGATGAAATAAGTATGCATTGGTTATTGTCCAAGGTAAGGGAAGGATCAGATCTTAGACATCTATACCTTAAAAGTCAATATAAGATGGCTGAACTGAAACAGGGTCTCTAGGTCCAGTCTGATGCTGACATTATTAAGACCTAAGGGAAATTAAGAAAGAGAAAATCAGTGACAGTCACACATAATTACTTACTAGGTAATTTCTGTGTCTGGAATTTATAATAATATCTTTTTTAAAAAATTTTTAAAAAAAATTATTTATTTTTAGTTTTCAACATTCACTTCCACAAGATTTTAAGTTCCGAATTTTCTCCCCATCTCATCCCTCCCCCACTCCATGATGGCATGCATTTTGAGTACCCCTTCCCCTAATCTGCCCTCCTTTCTATCTCTCCCTCCCTTCTCTTATCCCCTTCCCCTTCTATTTTCCTGTAGGGTAGGAGAGATTTCTATACCCCATTGCCAGTACATCTTATTTCCCAGTTACATTTTTTTTAACATGTGTTTTTAAAACTTTGGGTTCCAAATTTTCTCCCTTCCTCCTTCCCCACCCACCCTCATTGAAAAGGCAAGCAACTTGATACAGGTTATACATGTGTAGTCATGCAAATCACTTACATAGTAGTCCTGTTGTGAAAAACTAAGTATACTTCCCTTCATCCTCTCCCACCCCCCATTTATTCTATTCTCTTTTGACCCTTTCCCATGTTTGCTTCTGATTACCCCCTCCCCCAATCTGCCCTCCCCTCTATCATCCCCCTGCTCTCTTGTCCCCTTCCCCCTCCCTATTTTGCTGTAGGGTGAGATAGATTTCCATACCCAATTGAGTGTGTATGTTATTCCCTTCTTAAGCCAAATCCTATGAGAATAAGATTCACTCATTCCCTCTCACCTTGCCCCATTTCCCCTCCACTGTAAAAGCCTTTTCTTTTCTGTTTTATGTGAGATAATTTACCCCATTCTACTTCTCCCCTTCTTCTTCTCCCAGCATAATCCTCTCTCACCCCTTAATTTTATTCTTCAGATATTACCCCTTCATCTTCAACTCACCCTGTGCCCTCTGTCTATCTATCCATATACATACCTATAATTTTTTTCCCTCCAACTACCTTAATACTGACAAACGTCTCATCAGTTACAAATATCATCTTTCCATGCAGGAATGTAAACAGTTCAACCTTAATAAGTCTTTTATGATTTCTCTTTCCTGTTTACCTCTTCATATTTCACTTGAGTCTTATATTTGAAAGTCAAATTTTCTATTCAGCTCTGGTCTTTTCATCAAGAATGCTTGAAAGTCCTCTATTTCACTGAATATCCATTCTTTCCCCTGAAGGATTATATTCACTTTTGCTGGGTATGTGATTCTTGGTTGTAATCCTTTCTCCTTTGCCCTCTGGAATATTATATTCCATGCCCTCCAGTCCCTTAATGTAGAAGCTGCTAAATCTTGTGTTAACCTGATTGTGTTTCCACAATACTTGAATTGTTTCTTTCTGGCTGCTTGCAATATTTTCTCCTTGACCTGGGAACTCTGGAATTTGGCTACAATATTCCTAGGAGTTTTCCTTTGGGGATCTCTTTCAGGAAATGATTGGTGGATTCTTTCAATTTCTATTTTGCCCTCTGGTTCTAAAATATCAGGGCAGTTTTCCTTGATAATTTCTTGAAAGATGATGTCTAGGCTCTTTTTTTTTTTGATCATGGCTTTCAGATAGTCCAATAATTTTTAAATTCTCTCTCCTGGATCTATTTTCCAGGTCAGTTGTTTTTCCAATGAGATATTTCACATTGTTTTCTATTTTTTCATTCTTTTGGATTTGTTTTACAATGCCTTGATTTCTCATAAAGTCACTAGCTTCCAATTGCTCCATTCTAATTTTTAAGGAAGTATTTTCTTCAGTAATCTTTTGGACTTCCTTTTCCATTTGGCTAATTTTGCTTTTTAGGGCATCCTTCTCCTCATTGGCTTTTTGGACCTCTTTTGCCATATAGTAATATCTTTAAAAAATAATGTGGTTACTAGTTAAAGCAGTTTACTAATTTTATTTTATTTTAAAATAGTGTTAGAGTACATTGCTAAGGCCCCAGCTACACTCCTGGAATGAAGACCTGAATATGCTGGTCTTGCCCAGTCTCTGGCTTCAGGCCACGTGTGTGGCAGAACGCCACTGTGTGGCAGTATTGTCAACACATGGGAAGAAAGGACCATTCTTTCACAGGTGGGAAAGTTGGACGTATTTTTCCTCTTTCCTAAAGAGATAGACCTAATTAATTAGATATAAATGGCTAACACAGGGACTGTGTCTTACCTAAACATTACATCCTCCCCAGAGCTTAGCTTAAGTGCTCTGCACACAATAGGCATGTCATAAATTTTTTGAAAGCTGAATGAATAAATTTTTATTGAAGAGATGCTGACCTAGGAGGTGAACAATTCAAACAATGGCTTAAAATTATCATCCCAAAATGATGTTGCAAAAAGTTGCTGAGGAACAAATAAAAATAGCTACCAAACCGTATACTCTCTCATTTTCATGCCTATCCTGGATGGCTTTGTTATAATCAGCCCTATATTGAACCTCTGTAGAAGGGGTTCTTGACGTGCATGTGTGCATTTTAGGATATGTGTGTGAGACTCTTTTGGCAATCTCATGAAACCAACGAATTCCTTCTCAGAATTGCATTGTAATATGCATAAAATAAATAGGTTACTAAGGAAAACAATCAACCTGAAGAAAAGTTATAAAAGTATTTTTAAAAAGTTAATGGAAGCCAGATTACAAACTCTTCCTCTAGAGGAAGCATTTTCAGCATCTGAAGATAATTTAGAAACTGAAGCAGAGGGGTATGATTTAAGAAGGATCTAGGTAATACGGGAATATTCCTTAGGATTGCCAAAAAGACAGCTGGAGTTTCAGGCCAATGAAACTAGGTTACAGGATATGGAATTAGAGGAATAGAGCTTGAAGGGAACTCAGAGGTCATCTAGTCCAATTCTCTCATTCTATAAATGAAACTTTGAGTAATAAGTGTTAAAGGCAAGATTTGAACCCAGAGTCTGAGGTGCTGTTCTTTCCACCATACCATACCGCTTCTTGTGGAACAGAAAGGAGAACTGTGTGAGATAAAAACTAATTAGTAGCCTCTAGGAACGACTAGAAAAAAATAGTTGAGGTTCTGTGCCGATATTAAAGTGGGAGATCTGAATTGGACATGATGTAATGGGTCATTAATTAAGGTGAGCCTACAGTTTCAGGATTAGTTCATTTGTTATTCAACTCACTCTTTTTGAGCCAAAATCTATGGTTAGTAAGAAAAAAATGACATTGTTCCTTTACTCTCTCTCTTGCCTGACCCCACCATGTCATCAAGTCAGAAAAAAGGGGTAGTAAATAATATACACCAGGTAGACAATGATATACACTGATTCTATGAGTTTCCATAGAATTTCATAGGTATATATATTCACAATGTGGCAATGCATTTCACATGGGGCTTTTATCAACATTTTTCTATTATTTTCAAAGAAAAATGATACACATGTAAGGATCAGGTTTCACCTCCATTCTAATTACTCTAAGTACAAGATGATGAAATTTGAAATGAGTAAATGAGATGGGTTAAACCTTGTGATTTCTTATCATATATGAACCCTTTTGATTGGATCAAGAAAGAATTCATTAATAGGTGAATGAAAAAAGTTAACCATGCTCCTGGGGGTCTTAAATTAGGAGGCAATCGATTCAAATATGAGTGGGCCAGTTGGAGTGGTAGAGTACTAGAGAACCCTTATGCCTGAACCAAAAGGCATCAGAGGGAGGGTTGAGAGGAATAAAGAGAGAGTGTTTTATACTCCTCAATCTCTTCCCTCTTCTATTGACCATATAATTGAGTATACTGGACAACAGACAACACATCCAGACACGAGTAGCAAAAGATACACTGAGGACAATTATGGACCCAGATAGATAGAAAGATCCAAAAGGGGCAGCTCCAGGGAGTATAACCTTTCATAGCAGTGAGAATACCAGCTATGGACTGTAGAAATCTACCATCCTTAGAGCCCAGAAGAAAGCCATACCCAAGGGGAACTTCATGAAGATGTTATGATAGGAGAAAAAGATTTTCACTAACCAGAAGTGTGAGAGACTCCTCTGACACATATGAGCCCTACATGGTGCTCTACCACCTTTGCTAGTGCAGGGGGAGAGGGTGGCCCAAGTTTGGAGAGATTGTTTTTTGTACCAACTGTTCATGCTATGAGTGTTTAAATAACTTTTGTGAATGTTAATTTGATGGGGAACACACCATTTGGATCTCATGAACAACTGCATTAGAAACCCTGCCCATCAGGGTTATCCCTAGAACACTGAGGGGAGTAGTAGTAGGCAGCCAATCTTCGGGGAACCCCAGGCTGTGACTGCAAGTTCCAATTGGGTGGGTGAACCCAGAGAGGGTGCTACACACAAAATTTCTTTTAACATACAAATAATTGAACATATCTAGCTATGAACTGATCGATCAATAAATATTTATTAAGGACCTACAATGTGCCAGGCACTGTGCCAAGCCATGGTGATACAAAAAGATAAGAAAGGCAGTCGCTATTCTCAAAGAGATATTTTCCTAATGGAAACTAATCTTTCCTTAAATGAAAGTAAGTTTTCTATTTATATGTGGCTCTTTGATCTTTGTCTCTATTATTCTACTCAAAGTTAATATCATTAAAATTGTTTCAAAAGAAATCTGTCTTAACGAGGGTTGATTAATAATTAAAATATGAAAAAATGAAAAGTACATAATGGAATAATACCATTTTCGGATTGCCACCATTTCTTTTTTCTCTCTGGTTCAAATGTTGTAATGACATTCTCGATTGCATGGCTGTTGGCTTGTGTATATGGATTATATGGATATCTAGAATCACAAATGAAACATTTTTGTTCATCCTAGAAAACAAAATAAGTCAAAATTAAGTACAGAAATATAATTACTTATTGTAGAACTAAATTAAAAAACAAGCAGTGTCTATGTTTATTGTCTTGTGATCCATCTAAAAATACAAAGATGAGAGGAAGTAACAAAACATTTTTCCACCAGTGGTTGCTTAATTAGAATAACAAAGTGAACTCAAATCCAACTTTTGCATTTTCATAGTTTTGTGCATTTTTTGCCTGAAAAGTAAATTTACATGGAACTGTTTATCCCAGACACAATAGTTAGGAGATAAGGAAAGAAGTTTCAAATGTGTTTTTAAAAAGAGAACACATATTTTCAGTTCTAGAATCACTTCCTTTATTTTTGACTGCAGTAACTTGACTTGAAAGGTAGTCAAAACAACTCATATTTTCTACCTCAGATCTTTCAAACAGAACATTGGGAAGAAGAAACTTTTGAAACTAATGTTCTTACGTAATATATGTGGTTCTCTTTCTGGGATCCGTTCCCAGTGGCCTTTCTCTCTGCTATATCCTGTAAGGGTCTCAAGTCGATTTATTTCAAGTCAATAAACATTGATTAAGTACCTACTATGCTCTGTCATTGGAAATACAAAGACAAAAACAAAAACAAAAAAATCAGTCCTTTTTATTTTGGAACTTACATACTACAGTGAGGAAAAATATAATAGGCAAATAGATTAATAAAAGCAAGATAATTTGAGTAGGGAAAAAAGCCCTAATAACCAGAAGGACCATTGAGATAATGGATATAAAAAGCCTTTGGAAAGTATAAAATACTTTTCAAATGTAGTGCATGATAATAATAATAATCATTGTTCTAGCCGGTGCCAGAGAACCCTAGGAACCCAGCTCTAGGTTCAGTCTTGGGACATCCCACACATCACTCTTTGACTCATGTCCCCACTCAAAATTTCCCCTGGGAATATCAAAATGCTGCTCAAGTCTCAGATGAACAATGCAAGAACAAACACACATGCATTTATTGACTCCATAGGACTCCAGAGATAGCTACGGGGATTAACTAGTAAAGGAAATACAGCCAATTCTAACTTTGCATCGGAACACAAGGTGTTATAGTTATTAAGCTCCATTCTCCTCACTACAGTCAATCAATCATTCATCAGCCCCAGATGGAGGTCTTGCCCTTGTTGTTTCAAAGTCTTTTAAAGGTTCTGTTCCTGAGTATACAAAAGGAAGGGAATGGGGACAGGCTAATATGATCATAGAGTGGTTGCTTTAGAGTTAAAAGGCATTTAACAGGTCATCTAGTCTATCAATTAAGGAAACTGAGAGGGAGGGAGGGGAAGTGACCTGCTGAAAGTTACTCAGACAGTAAGTGGCAGATTCATGATTCAAATTCAGGTCCTCTGACTCCAGAAGTAGTACTCTTCCACTACCACAGAAAGCAAGGTCCTGGTTCTCTGGTGTTAGCTTTGTCTCTGTGCCTTTCCATGACTACTGATCTACACAGGAGACTGGAATTCGTTTTGAAATTGATCATTTGAATGACCCCTAAACCTTACAGATTTTTGACAGTTCTGGGATGATTAACCTCTACATGGATGATGACTAGGTGTTATATATCTTTCAGAGATTAATATAAAGAGGAAAAGAGAATGCTCACCTGAAGCTAGAATGAGCTAACCAATGACCTAACCAGTTATCTTATCCAAGATAAAATTAAACCCTTCCCACCAGGAAGTTTGGTTAAAAATAAGGATTCTTAACCTTTTTTGTTTCAGTTCTTCGGTGAAACCCATGCAACTATTTTCAGAATAATGTTTTTAAGTGAATAGAACACATATGATTACAAGTGAAAGCAATTACACTGAAATGTAATTATCAAAATATTTTTTTAAAAGTCAAGTAAATGATCTCAGGTTAAGAACCCCAGAGTTAGAAAGATATACTTGAACAGGAAGGCACTAGCTATTTAGCTAAGATCCCCTGTGTTCTTTGTCCTAAAAAGTTTGGGGCCTGGTGCAAAGCAGCTATTTCAGAAGATTAGAGGACTAGTAGCCTAGATGTTGAAGGGAGTAAGAGAGGTCACTCCTTTAGGAGGAAAACTGGTATTTTCTCCCAAAATGTGTTGGTTCTATGGATTTTCTCAGCCTCAGCTTCTCTACCTGTAAAATGGGTACAGTACCTCCCTCACAGGGTTATTATGAGGATTAAATAAGATAATAAATGTTAAGAGTTATCTTTGTAGACCTTAAAGTATTCAACAAAAGCTACTTATCATCATCATCATCATTTCATTCTTCTCATCTTTTTTTTAAATGAAGTTCAGATGGAACTAGTCCTGGCACAACTGTTTATCCTAATATTATTTCTTCATCATCATTACTGTGGCTGCCATTATTATCCTTGCATTCACATTTGGACCTTATTTCCTTGTTTCCTTATATGATCAATAATCTGTCTAGTTGCAAGTGAGTCTTCTTTTTGTCATCATTGGTACCTATATTTGGAATGTTCCTCAAGGCTCCTTGTTATCACCCCCAAATCTTATTGTTAGGCAATGATTAATCAAGCATAATGTGCTAGATGACCACTAAGAAATTCAGAGAGGAGATAATCCCTACCCTCACAGAACAAGACCCAAACAAAATGACCACATTTGGAAAACTAGAACTACTTTTCCTTAGGAAGGCTCTTTCCAGTGTTTACAGCCAACATTTGACTTTGAGTTTGCTTAGTAGGCTGTTTCCATTTGTAATTATACTTCATATCACATGGGTAGTTCTCTAAAGACTTTTAGTGGTTCATGAGTTATTTGTTTTTGAGTATGTTAGTGAGGGTGATTATAAGAAAGAATGCTACAACTCCTAATGAATAAAACAGAGATTATGGAATAATGTAATATTTGAATTCTAAGGGGTTTTGTCTGGTCAATCAGTCAACAAGCATTTACTAAGTAGCTGCTTATATACCAGGCACTGTGCTAGGCTTTGGAGATACAAGTATAAAGAATAAAACAATGCCTACTTACAATGAGTTTGCATTCTAAGGAGGAGGGAGGAGACAAGTACATGTAAAATATGTGTAGCATAAATATAAAGTTAATAAATACAGAATGGTTAACTGTAAGGTACTTTTAAGGATGGATACTAGCAGTTGAGGGAATCAGAAAAGGCTTGATGCAGCAGATGGTGCTTACCTGAGCTGCATCTTAAAGGAATAGAGGTATACTTATGAGATGGAGATATGGAAAGAATGTATTCCATGCATGGAAGACCACCAGAGCAAAGACAGAGTCAGGAGATGGAGTGGCATGCATTAAGAACAGAAAGGTCAGTTGGTCTGGATAGAAGAGTGTAGGAGGGACAGTGACAACCAATGAAGTTGAAAATGTAAGATGGGGCCAGGCTGACTTTAAAAGTGAAACAGAGGAGTATATATTTTATCCTAGAGGCAATAGAAAGCCGCTGGAATTGCCTAAATAAGGGAGTACCACACTCAGACATGTGTTTAAGGAAAATTATTTGAGCAGTAGTGTGTAAAATTGATGGGAGTGGGGAAACATATGAACCAGGGAGAGCAATTAGGAGGCTATTGTAATAACCTGGGTGAGTGGTGATGAGGTCTGAAACTGCAGTGGTCATCCAATCTGAAGCATAAATTGTCTCCTTAACATCACCAGTGAGTGGTTCTCCAGTCCCCCCTTGTGGAGCTCTAATAAAGAGTACCTTACCTTCCTTAAGGAGGGTAGATGAAATAGATGGTCTACTGAGATCCCTTTTGGTGATATGGTTAATAGATCTGTAACAAGGGTGATTGGCAGCTATATCAGGGATCATTAGGGAGTTGCCTGATCCATGCCTGATTCTCTCATGGATTTGGTCATGTATGGGGTAAGACATATGATCTGGATGGGGCAGAGCAAAAAACATATGGACTGGGGTACCTCTTATGAAGGAAGACATGTGTCTCTCCCTATGGAGTCAAAGTATACATGCCCGTTCCACAGAGGTATCCCAGTCCAGGAGACCGGGGAGTTCCCTTGATTATCTTTGTGGCAGAAAAAAATTCTATAGTTGGAAACAAACAAACTTCCAAATCTTGACTTTCCAAATCTTTTTGGGTTAGAGTAATATTATGGTACCAAAATTACTTCTTGCCAGGGGATGTTGGCTCCTGACAGCAGGGAGAAAATAGCAGCATCTCAGGCACAAAGATGGGTGCCTATGTGTTAAGGTTTTGAAAAATAACATTGAGTCACTTCTTTCTTGGGAAGAATGAAAGAACCTTCTTTCTCTGGTTGTAGATTTAGAGCTGAAAGAGAACTTAGATGTCATCTAGTCCAACCCTGTCATTTCATAAAGAAACTGAGGCCCAGAAAAGTGACTTGTCAAAGGTCATACATATAGTGACAAAAGCAGGTTTTGAACTTGGGTCCTCTGCCTCTAATTCTAGGTCATTCCAATGTACCTGGCTTCCTCCCTGGTTCTATTGAATCTAGTCACATGATGTACTGTTCATCCTGCCGTATTCTTGGCCCTGGAAATTTCCCTTTCTCTATGTTATTCCCTAGCATAAGGGGTTACTTTCAGCTACAAGCACTTCCCAACATGAAAATGGTGAAAAAGATCAATCTAGGCACTACCTCTTTCCAGTTAGTAATAGTAAAACTGCTTCAAAGTAGAGCTTCCCAGAAATCGAATCAGCTTCCTTCCTGCCCATATTCCATTTCATAGAGTTGCTATGATTGCCTTAAGCCATTTATACAGGTATGAGATCACATATAGGTAGTCTCTGGCCCTATTATAGATTGTTTCACTATGCTCCCAGTGTATAGTAGCCAAAAAAAGGCATCTTATCCTCTTCCCCTCAACCCTACCAATATGTGGGTGACTCCTTGCCTATTCAAACTGTAAGCAGTTTGGGCTGTACCTGGTTCCATGTTTTGCATTAAGCATACCTAACATACTGCTGGCATTCTAGGTAATTACAAAGGGCAATAATGCCACTATAGCAAAAAGGTGTTT